TAGAGCATACAAAATAGCGAAGAGCTCAGATGTTGTAGATGACGTCGTGCGGCATAATTTAAACGATTCCTGAATATTGAGCTGTGGTATGATAAATGCCGATGTTGAAGACGTTGTAGTACTTGAGCCATCTGTGTAAATATGTATGTACCCTGGATACCGCATGTGTATCTGATAAAGCGCTAGTTGTTGAGCAGCTTGGATGAACATGTCTCTCTTTCTAATAATGCCATCCACTGAGAATTCAATGCTTGGTATAACAAGTACCCATGGAGGATAGTTCATTTCAGAGTTCCAAAATTCATGGCTGGGTAATATATGTACATTACTCTGGACTTCGTTATGAGCATTGCTTTTATCTCTTAGTAAAATCTCCAGCGCCAATGGGTGGTCCCTGTGTTGCGTCTGTAAGCGAAAAAAATGGCGGCATGTTTCAATTGTTCTCATGACTGGAAAGGGTGGTTGTCGAGTCTCTGCTATGACAAGGCTGCTGGAAGTCGCTCGTGGAACACCTATGCAGACGCGCAGTCCCCTAGCTAATAGTCTTTGAAGTCACTCCTCTGAAGTGCGGGAAAGGCCGTGTAACACTGCTTCAGAATATGCAACTGTTTGTCGTATTAAAGCATTGTGAACAGCGAGCATGGATGATACAGATCCGCCCCATGATGTGCCAGCAATTCTGCGGAGTATATTCACTAGTGTATTCACCTCGTTTTCGAGTTTCTTTATGTGAGCTGCCCATGATAGCTGCCTATCAAGTATTACTCCGAGAAATCGATGCTGTGTTACAATCATTAGTGGTTCTTCTTCTAAATTGAGATTGAAGTTCTTTAACTTCTTACGGGTGAAGGGCAATACAGCTGTCTTTGCGTGTGATAGAATCATTCCTCTTTCTTTTAAAAAGTTGTTGACAATATTTATTCCGTCTTGCAATGCAATCTGAATTAACCGTATGTCCGCGCCAGATGCCCAAATGCACACGTCATCTGCATATAAGGAGTATTTCAACCTGGAAGGCAGTCTTTTAGCTAAATCAGCCATAACACAGTTGAAAAGAAAAGGGCTGAGTACGCTTCCTTGTGGCACTCCCTGTCTGACGTCGTGTTCTGCACTTTTTCCTTCGCTTGTCTGAATGAATATTTTACGACCTGATAAAAATTTGGATACCCACCGCAAAGACCTGCCGGACAGTCCGTGTTCCAACATACTCAGCAGAACATGAGTGTGACTGACAGTGTCAAATGCCCTTTTGATGTCCAAGAACACTGCGACCGTCAAACTACCACAGGCGCGTTCATGCTCCACATACGTTACTAGGTCCAGTATTGCATCCATTGTGCATCTCTGTTTCCTAAATCCTGTCAAGTAGTTGGAGAATACACCAGTTCTGTTGCACCACCATTGAAGTCGCGCATCAATCATTTTTTCCATTACCTTACATAAACAGCTTGTCAGACTGATTGGACGGAAGGATTCAAGGTTCAAGGGTGTCTTAGCCGGTTTTAAGATCGGAATGATGCGAGCAGACTTCCAAGACTCGGGTACAATTTCTTGCGTCCATAGATTATTGTAAATATCTAAGAGAACAGTTGTGCCTGTGGGCCCAAGGTTCTTTAGCATATTGTACGTAATGCCGTCCGGTCCAGAGGCCGATTTTTGACGACATGATGCTATAGCACAATGCAGCTCCCTTAACGTAAATACAGGGTCTAGCTGAGGATGCTGGGCCCAAAAGCAAGCATTAATTTTCTGGCTGGCTAATGCAACAGAATTATCAAATGAGGCACATTGTGATGCGGCGGGCCTACTGATAAGTTGACAAATTCATCTGCTACCACAGCTTCCGGTTTGTCCAAAGCTACAGCAAGAGCACGAAATGGGAAGCTCTGTGATACAGGGCCACTAAGTGCTCGAATTACAAGCCAAATTCTTGGAACAGGTGTGTGGGGGGAGAGCGTGCCACAGAAATCACGCCAGCGTCGTTTACCTAAATTTTCTAGCCGTCTGCGCATTACACTGTGGATTTTCTGTGCATTTTTGTATGCTTCTAAACTTCCGCTGCGTCGATATGCCCTTTCTGAACGTCGTCTGATGGCTCTTAGATGTTCATACTCTCCATCGACTGCAGCATAGTCTTTTGGAATCGGGACTTTCTTTGTACATTTATTCGCATTATCTTGCAGAAATTCAGTAAACCTTTCAACTGTCGTGAGTTCACTATTTTGGTTTGTTATGTGGTGCCGAAAAGCTTTCCAGTTCGTCAATTTGCTGTAGCGTCTGGTGTCGTCTTTTCGCAAGTAGGGGTGACTTATTAGAATGGGAAAATGGTCACTTCCACGTGTTTCTACATCCGTCGTCCATACCACACCATTCACTAGATCTTGGGAACACAAGGTTACATCGATGCAACTAGAGTAATTATGCCCTCGGAGAAAAGTTGGGGAGCCGTCATTTAAAATTGTCAAGTTGCATTTGTCTGCGGCACACTCAACAATGTTCCCACGTGCATTACATCGATCACTACCCCAGATTATGTTGTGCGCATTAAAGTCTCCGCATATAAACGTATATGAATTGGAAATGTTGAAGATATTTGTTAGCTCTTCCACCGAAATGCGGCTTGAAGGTTGTAGGTAAAAATTGATCACTGTAAAGCACTGCTCACCAAAGGATACTTTGCAAGCGACGAATTCCGGGAAGTCCGAATCACTTGAGTTAACTTGATGAGAAGGTAGGTCCTTTCTGACGCACAAATGTACTCTGCTAGGACCACTTCGACGAGATGACTTATATATCACGTAGTTGGAGAGGCGGAAATCATCATTCATTCCTGCCTCTTGGATGCAAAGTATTGGAAAGTTATACTGCAGAAGGAGTTTACGGAAGTCAGCACACTTCCTTCGAAGACCATTGGCATTCCACTGGTATATGGAGACATCTTTGTAGCGATTATTCATATGCTACTTGTCGCAGGTTTGACCCGGACTGTTGACACAGTAGTGCTTCCAGAGGCAGCAGGGCTTTTACTTCTGGCAGGTTGTTTGCTTCCGGTAAAGCAGACAGGATTGCCTTAAGTGCTGCGAAAAGCATTGGCAGAATCAATTGCATGACTGATGCAGAGGCACGGTCTCCATTGAATGGTTGATTTTCTGAGGCCTGTTGAGAATGATGTGGCGTTTTGGGGCGAACACTGGCACTGTCGGTTTTGCTACTTTCCGGCAGAGGTCCCGTGGGCGTTCGTAGCTTTGACGCGTAGGTTGGGTTATTTGAAGGTACTTCTCGTGAGTGGTCTCTCGAGTGTGCTCTTGGCGTCTCTCTTGGCGGTTCTCTTGGCGTGCTTGTCGGCTGTTGTTGCGGTGGCCGCTGAGGTGGATCACGTACAGGATGAACAATCTCAAGGTTTGGAGATGGTTCATTGGGGCGCGGTTTTCTTCCATGGATGAGCTCATGCTGACGCATTTTTGCAGCAGCTTTACTTTGCGGGCAGCCTGAATATGAGGCAGCGTGATTACCTGCACAGTTTGCACACTTAGGCTGAAGAACAGACTTGCACTCCTTATGATGGTGTTCTTCTGAGCAGATCTTACACCGGCGTGTGTTACGGCAACTTTTCGCCATGTGTCCGAATCGCTGGCAGTTATAGCACCGAAGTGCTGGACCAAGATATTCTTCCACTGGGTGACTGGTGAATCCTAAGTAGATTCTTCCTGGAATCGGGCGGTCATCTCGAAAAGTCAGGATCACTGAGTGAAGTGGACGCGTCGTTACTCCTCCATCTTCCTGGCGGTAGTATTTTATTTGCCGTCGCGCCGATATAACCCCTGCATCTCTCAAGTACCCTAGGAGTTGTTCGTCTGAATACTGCAGAGGAACATGTTTTACTTTCCCAACGTTCCGAGTGTATGACTCTGGGATGAAAGGCTTAACTTCCAGGCCACCTACATTTGAAAGCATCAGAAGTCGCTTAGCTGAACTTAAGGAAGCAACGCTGACACTAAAGCTTCCATCTCTGGTCGTTCTGAATGACTGCACTTTTTCTTTAGCAGCGGAAACTACTTCAGCTGACACTCGATTGGGGTTCACTTTCCAGAAGCTAGCACCTTCAGCTGTTGGACGAAAGACGACTGGGATACCCTCTGCTCGTTTCTTTTTATAAGTAACCAACGTAAATGGTTCAGCTTCGCCCATGTCTTCTTCATCACTTAGGTGATAAGTTGACGTTTTATCGTCGAGAGGATTCTCTTCTAAGCGAGGCTTCTTGCTCTCAGCTTCATCGTCTTCCAATGCTGATGTGCTCGCTTGAGCCATTTCGCGGTTGTGAATTTGCAAACGTGCCGGCTTTATGATGCTTGGACGCACCTGTAAGCCCCCAGGCTTTTCATTGTGTCCTGCAGTATCACTCATGTGGTTTAACGCACTTGGACGAGCATAAGGCTCGTGGCGATGGCTACCAACCACCGTAGTGGTCGCGTACTAGCCAAATCTTTGATAACGGAACCTCGTACCTGTAGGGCGCCGAGCCCTCGAAGTCTTCACCCGGCGTCTTGTCGGCACACCGCGAAGAAAAAACGGTGCCACTCTTCGTGGTTCCTCGCGACGCTAGCTGCGTCGCAGCGGTGACGGCGTTGTCTACGGCGAACGCTATGCAGGTGGCTCTTCTTCCGGCGCAGCGAACACAAAAACGGACATAAAATGGTCAAATGCAAGTCCTCCCACCTGATTTTTCGTCAGGATGGTCGCGATGACTTGTGGCGTCGATTCGTAACGACAAATACGCTGGATATGGTGATTTCCGCCGCAAAACATCCAGAAAACTCTATGTTAGCTCTTGAAGGGGCCGACCCCCCCCTCCCCCCGCAGCTTTCTTTTGGTGCCGCCGCAGAACAAGAGTGCATCGTTGCATAGATGTTGGTCGTGTGTGTGCGGTTGGCCTCTCCACAGATATTCATTACTGAGTGTTCGACAAGTGACGAAGCGATGCGTTTCTTTCGTTTATTCAGAGGGCCGTGAGCCATGGCGATGGTCCTGTCGGCGTGCTGCTGCCTGCTGGTACTTTTGGGCCCCGGCTCGTCGGTCGAGGGTCAAGAGTTCTCTGCAAGCCAGGAGGCGTCTGCGCTGCCAGAGACCTTCTCACTGGAGAAGGAGTCGACTTCAAGTCTCGAGGCCGAACTGTCCACCGAGGAAGCACCTTCGCACTCGCAACTGTCGTCTGGCCACGAGCCGGCTGCGGGCCAGGACGGAGCCACTGCTGCCGCTTTGCGCTCGGACCCGTGCGCAACGAGCGCCGACAATTGCTCCGAGTGTCTGAGGCATCCGGAGTGCGCATGGTGTTCCCAGCAGGTACGTGCATTACCGCCCCCCACACACATCTCGTTTCAATATATCGACGATCGCCTTGCACGTTGCATTGTACTCGTACGTACGTTGCATGAATTATTCGCGTTAGTATGGACCACTAACATGTGATCGACACTGTCATAATGGGAGCGAAGAATAAGCGCTGCAAAAACGCGAAGGCGAGATGAATATATGACGAGAACATGCGAGGTGTTGGAGTGTTCATTAGATTGATGGACGGACGCATGGACGGACGAAAGTAAGAACGAACGTACAGACGGAAGCACGGATGGACTGATGGACGCTTCTCTTTACTCATCATCATTCACTCCGTAAATATGCTGCCATTTTTTTTTCTGACGAGGCCGAGTTTCACAAAAATAAAAAGCGCGTCTGAAACGCATTGTTTAGCCAGAAAATGCATCAGTATCTTGCTAACAGCTTTTAGATGCGGAGCATCTAATACTCGAGGCTTGTAGTGCGGCGCCGTCCGCAAGCTTCCTCCTCCTTCTTCCACCATCTGTGCATCCCTTCCTCCTCTACACACCGCGCGCGCTTCACTCCTCCACCATCTGTGCACCCTTCCTCCTCTACACACCGCGTGCGCTTTTCCTCTTCACGAACATTCGCTAGCTGTATAATGTAGCGCGCATGCGCCGTCACGCTTCGAGAACATCGGCAGCTGACGCGCGCGCATGCGCCGTCGCGCTTCGAGAACATCGGCAGCTGACGCGCGCGCATGCGCCGTTGCGCTTCTCCCCCTTCTCGAACATTCGACAGCTGACAGTGCATGCGCCGTCGCGCTGTATATATACTCAAGGTCGGTGCTCGCTCGCTCAGTTGCCGCTCGTCGGTTGGTTTGTACGGCGCGTCGACGTCCGAGGTCGCAATGATCGATGTCCCTTCGACCAGCGCCGGCCAAAGTGTTGGCGGAACCGCAACCAAGTCGTCGTCCGAAGACAAGGCAGCGCGGAGAAGAGCTCGCGACGCCGAACGTAAACGTCGGCGTCGAGCGGAAGATGCTCAACTTAGAGAACGTGAAGCCGCTGAGAGACGTCAGCGTCGAGCAGCAGCACCGGATTCGGCCGCTTTGAAACGTAAGCGTCGACAAGAGGACCCGGACTTTCGAAAACGGGATACGTGTCGTACGTGTTCACTTATTTAACACCCCTCCTACAACCACGTTAACCAATTTAGCCAGCGACCCAAGTAAGTCGCAATTTAACACCCCATTTCACAACCACGTTAACCAATTTAGCCATCGACCCAAGTAAGTCGCACTTTAACACCCCGTTAACCAATTATATGCTCCGCATCCTCCTCAGTGTTCCCCCGAGGGAAGCTGCGGGCAATTTTTTTTCAACCACTCGACGGGACCGGTCACTCGTTTGCAGACGACTGAGATGCATTTGTAAATACCGAGGCCAGGGTGGTGTCAAGCAGCAGTAACACGGACCACATTTCAGCCTTGACGCACCGATACGTAAATCAATGCACCTGTTCCCGAATGCGTAAATTTCGCGCTGAAAATTCGTCGGAACGACTTGTACAAACTGTTTGAAACGAATGCCCATACAGGGCAAGTATTTCGCTTCGTCAATAACAGCTTGGTTATGGCGTGACGAGTGAGTGGCTTTCCTTTTTAAATTGGGGAACTGTGCGCCTGCACTGTATGGTCGTTTTATGCGACACTATATATTATAACGTCGCATAGCTTTCACAAGGAGGGCTCCACAAGCAATGTATATATACCTGCGTCAATTTTCGCAGCCTAAATGCGTACGTCGTCTTGTGTGTTCGTTCCGATTCTGACGGGAAACGCCATTCGAAATGTTAGTGACCACATTCACCGAAGTCTTGAAAGCGAAAGTATCTCATCTCACCTTATCAGCGCTTTTTTTTTTTTTGAACCATATATTTATTGACACGTCACGGACGGACAGGCACTTTTCATACGAAGGCGGAAGGGAAGAAAGTAGTTTTGGAACTGCAGTTAAGTGGAGCAGTTTGTCCATATATGAAAACTGTCGTGTGATGAGGGCCAGGTAAAAGCGACACTTCCTTAGATGTCGCGGAAAGTACTCGAGGTCACTGTATATGTAGGCATCGGTCGTCATTTCTATAGTGGACATGCGGTGAGCGTGCAGGCCGCATGATCGCCCCAGAACATGGCACAGGGCTTCCAAGCGCACGTGGGCAGTGCGAAACATGTTCCGAAAGAGGAACATGTTATATGGCATCGCGAAATCCCGCTACAGCAATTCAGAGCTCGCCGAGCGGTGCACGCACAATCCGTTGGCGTTTCAGCGAAGCCCACTGAACCATAGAGTTTCCCACAATACTTACTAGAGGGAGCTCTGGCGCTAGTGTCTATGGGAGTTGCAACGCACGGCGCTTCCGTGAGCATGGTATTGATGGGTTGTACACACCTTTGACTAATCTTCGTACTTCTGGCCTGCCTTTGGCTCCGTGTGTGTTCATGTGGCTTAGAGATTTTTTCTCACAAAACAAAAAATCAGCAATTGTTCAGCGATTTCGCTTCACCACCCTATTTTTTTCTACTTACCTTTCCAAATTGGGTCAGGAAGTTCAAAAGGGTTGAATCTTTCTTTCAAAACAAAACCGAAACACGGCAGTAAACGAAGCCGCAAGTACGATTCGCCGCCCTCAAGTACAAAGAGTAGGCAAATTTGTGTACTACCCATCATTCCCATGGTCGCTGAACGATCGCAGTGCCAGAGTGCCCTCTGGTTAATTTTGAGAAACTCTATGCACTGAACCAAAAGACGATCGAGAGACGAAATGGACGCGTATATACACGCTGCAGTTCCCGACGGCAGCCCGAGCCGCCCGGGGTTGATCAAAGTCGAGGGTCGGGGTTAGCCAGGGAGAGACAGGAAGGCTGTGTGTATGGGTAAACAACCGCCGTGGCGTTCAGCTTGCCTCCTGCTTGTTTTGTCTGCGGCGAGCAGCTGCTTGGCTCTGTGTTTGGCCGGAGAATCGCGTGCGACGACCACGTGGAGGGGGGGCTTATATATGCCAGCCGAGATAAAAGAAGTGGCCTTTGGAAAGGACCGTGGGACGCGAGTTCGCGTGCGGGGCTGGAAATGGCTCCGTTCCCGCGTCACACGTGCCGCCGATACGGTGCACAAGCTGAACCCACCGCCAGGTCCGGCTCGCGAACTCGATACCGCTTTTTTGCTGGCACTCGATGGGGTTGTGAAGTCCGGATGTGAATAGCTTTTTATTTCTCTTTTCTGTTCAACACCGAGGCGTCCACAACGGATTTTGTACATCGGCTACAACACGTGATGGCGTGGTCGATACCGATGTGTGTGGTGCGAAGGGCTTTGGAAATGCTCGGATGTAGTAGAAGCGAAACGATTGCGTCTGGAAGTGAATGAATGAATGAATGAATGAATGAATGAATTATCGAGCGAGAGAACGAATGACGAACAGCGAAAGAACGAATAAATGAAACATTTATTGCAGAAAAGTGTACAGGAACTAGTGTTCGACGTTCTGCAAAAAAAAAAAAAAACGTTGTATTTAATAAGTCATTCGCTTCTGTTGTCTATATTTGATCTATATGTATATACTTACTTTACCCGAGCATTTTCGAAGCCCTACGAATCTTGAGGGGGTGGGGGGGGGGCGAAGGGGCACATGTTAGTACCGATGCTGACGATGTCAGTGAATCGTGGTTCGCGAAGTATGTTCGGGGAGTGGCCAAACAGATTTCTACTGTGCTTCTCAAAATGAGTTAGAAATTGAACCTCAGCTAACGGGCCACAGCCACGAAACTTACTCCCGCTATATTTATTTATTTATTTATTTATTTATTTATTTATTTATTTATTTATTTATTTATTTATTTATTTATTTATTTATTTATGTATTTTATTTATTTATTTATTTCCAATACTGCTAACCCCAATGATAGGGGCTCTAGCAGGGTGTTACAAAACATATAACAAGGTTTCTTAACAAATACAACAAATTCAGACAATACAAAATTCAACTGACAATATCAACGTGAAATGTCAAATTTACATTGTGAAAAAAATGCAGACAAGCCTTTCGTAATACAAAAATACATCAGGATTACAATTGAAGGAGAGCCTGAAATATATCACAGTCAACTACCGTTACTACGTCTTTATCGAGTTTATTCCATTCTGTTACAGTTCGGGGAAAAAAAGAATATTTAAAAACATTGTTCTTGCATTTAAATGGCACTAATGAGTATGGATGTCGTAGCCTTGTAGAATAACTGCTGGAAAAAGAAATGTAGTCACACGTTCGGCTCTGTAACTTACCCTTGACAATTTTAAACATGAACTTAAGGCGAGCGCCTTAAGGAGGGCCGGAACAAGGGTGAAAAAAGGGGCACGGGGGTATAGTTTCAATAGAAGGCCAACTAACGTTGACACTTGAAACGAGGCCTTCCGCGCCCACGTTTATCGGTGATTTCTGAAGGGTGCCACGCGTCGGGATTCGAACGACATTTCGAAGCCTATCGACAGGTCCACCGAAATCTGGACAGCGTTAAGTATAACACAGTTTTCGTTCCGCAGTGTATACTGTTTTAACAGATGGCTTGAGAGAGAGCAGTTGGCTGTCTAGACAAGTTTGATGAAGGATCTTCACGCAAACGACTCGCTGTAGTTTCCCTCGAGGAGAAGAAGGCATAACGGTCGAAAGGAGCTCGCAGGTGGCCTGTTCCGGCTGTCCGACTCTGGCCCCCTGCAGCGATGAAAAAGGACACCGCACACGCTCGCACGAAATCACGCCGAGCAAAGGGGAAGGATTCCTCGCCGCCTCAGCCGAAGTGAATACCGTATTTTCCGATCTACGAGACGCCGGTCCGCTGGAATCTAACTTGCGCTCCTTTATACCTTGATATATAGATACCGTGGTGGATTTCTTGGTATGCTCTTGCCTTGGTATGCTTATGTTCTCGCTTTCGGTTAGAAACGTTTTTTTGTTTCGTCCTGCCGCATCGAGCAGTGAAGTGTCGCTGTTCACTGCGGTATTTATAGATTGGATTTAATTGGGTCAACATTCCTAACATGTAAGGTACAGCATCCCGAAAATCTTACCGTATGTGGAAAACGATGTGGCGAGTGCTCCGGGATGAGTTTAACCGCTCGGTGTTCATCAACCTACACCCAAAGTATGGATGCACGATACTCCATCCTCCTCCTGGCCTTTCCCCCTCCCCAGAAGAAAAAAAAAACGAGTGGCTTCATCTTGTTCTATCAATAAGCATGCGTACCATATTGTCAGATTGAAGTTTGAACACTAAAATTCCAAATTTTGGTCGTCTTGGCTAACTTATATTGTGCATCTTGCTCTGATGCAAAGTATTAAGCTAACTTTACCTACCCCCTTCATTTTCCCCATCGTTTCCCTTCCTGCGTCTACTATCTTTGTTTCTATCTGCAGGCAAATGAGAAAGGCTTGACCAATAAAATTAGTAAGTGCGACCAGTATGGGTGATTTGTATTAGTGGTCAAGACGAATGTTCAAGAGCATTCGGAAGTTTGACCGCGTGCGCTGAGAAAATTGACCATTGCTAAAGAATAGGTATACAGAAGGTTTCCTTTCTCCTAAGGGCAAGCTGTAAGAACCGTGACATGGTACGACAAAATTCGATACAACGAAACGTCATCGTTAAACGGTACTACGGTGACACGGGCGCGTTGGCGCGAAGGCTGACTTGCTGGAGTCCAGTGCACGCACGCTCAACCAAGCAAGCAATTTCGTAGTATCGAGTGCATGTGTATAACCACGGAGACATGTGACACGTGAACGTATATAGATACACTCAGAAACATGCGCACACTGAAGTGTCGTGCGCGAGCAAATTAATGCACCCAACAACACTCATAGTACACTACTCTGTGGATCACTCTCCATCTGCAGGACTTCCCGCGAGGTGTGGCGCGTTGCAACCCTGCCTCGGTGCTCCTGGACAGCGGCTGCAGCGAGGACGCCATCGAGGACCCGGAGAGTCGCATCGACCAAATCACGGTGCGTTTAATATCGCCGGGGGTTGTCGAGTGCATATTTGTTCCTCATTACGTCACTCTGTCGGTGGGCGTACGCCATAGAAAGAACTGTTCATGAAAACAGAAAAACGGAGGGAGGGGCACGATTCCTCTGCCGTGCTCGGGATCGGCCATAACAACAACAACAAAAAAAAAACTAAAGGTAGTCGCAGTTGGGCATTGAGAAACACCAATGCACAGACAGACAGACAGACAGACAGACAGACAGACAGACAGACAGACAGACAGACAGACAGACAGACAGACAGACAGACAGACAGACAGACAGACAGATAGATAGATAGATAGATAGATAGATAGATAGATAGATAGATAGATAGATAGATAGATAGATAGATAGATAGATAGATAGATAGATAGATAGATAGATAGATAGATAGATGGATGGATAGATAGATAGATAGATATTTTAGCTGAGCTTGTCTAAGAGACTTTTCTCAGCTGAGCTTTCGAAATATGTGTCGCGGGAACTGAAATTGCGAAAGAAGACCATGATTTCCGTGACGGAAGTGGTGCCAATAAAATCGTAGTGAACCACAGCGTGTATTCTTTTGCGTTTATGTCTAATTGAGCGAACTATATATTCTCATGTCGCTTTGCAAAAATTTCACTAAAATCAGTTTTCAGAAGAAAAAAAATTGGGGTAGGCGGGCGTGGGAATGGGGAGCCTGAACTCTAAGAATTAGACTAATACACAACCAAGTAAGCGCATCGGTCATCGTGACAGCATGGGCTTGTTAGTATGCCTTTTTACGTGCATGGGAAAGTCTGGAATAGCGCATTCTTCCCGGATCCTTCATAAAAAAATTGTACAATGGTTTGCGGCCATTGCGGAGTTCCCATTGGAGGCGACCTTGGACACATATAGGCGTTCCTTGTAATTGGAAGCCAATGCTCCCAACGAATCGCTCATTGCATATAACATCGTCCGAGTAAATGACAGGTCTCCCATTTCTTGGCGCCGCGGGGAGAGCAGCATTTCGCACGCTTCACAACGGGACGCTGGCAGCCCCCAATGGATGCGATCCGTTTATGATCGCATTCGCCTGATGCACCCTCAATGTTGTTCCGCGTGACTTTCATCTGCAACTAAAAAACACACTGTAAGAATACTTTTAGACGTCCACGCAAGGCAACCGTTTAATGTGCTGGACCGCAACGAGACAGCAGCCAGTCGTGTTGTTGTTGTTGTTGTTGTTGTTGTTGTTGTGGTTGTTGTTGTTGTTGTTGTTGTTTCCTCTGCACATGGCTCGTACCCAAAGGAGGGGATTGGCCGATTATAAGGTGAATTCGCCCGATACTTTCTGCATTGCTTCGTTCCTAAAAAGCGTTAGTTAGCTAATTGTGATTTGAGGTGCCAATTGCGAATTTGAAGAAAAAAAAAAGAATAAAGATAAAAGTAGTGAGTCCCCAATTTAGCAAGAAGATCGTTTAGTCGCTGTGATGTATTCCTGAACGGCGAATAAAACATCCATGTGGCTGTAACCCAGTGTAGAGGCTCCAAATGAAAGAAGAGCAGGTTCTGGTAATTGCAAGCCCAGTTTTTTAAGTGTGTGTGTGTGTGTGTGTGTGTGTGTGTGTGTGTGTGTGTGTGTGTGTGTGTGTGTGTGTGTGTGTGTGTGTGTGTGTGTGCGTGTGTGTGTGTACTTTTTCTGTATAAATGGAAACGGCGACAGTATAATAAAAATGACTAATCGTTTCCTCTTGATTACAGTAAATGCACATAGGGGAGTTCAATAAACCGGATCTATGCAAGTGAAAATTGAGGGAGGTCACGCGGCAACGAAATTTTGTGATGACAACTTCCATCATCCTTGAATTAGACAGCTCGCTGCGCCAGGGAAATAACAAGTGGTTGTACTCTGGAGAAGCCGTCAGTGCAGGGTCTGATATATTTTGCCTTATCTTAAACGTGCGAAATCGGGTCACCGTAATGTGTACTGTAGGTGGGAAAGTAGGAATGATGGGTGTCGAAAGCGATGCCTTCGCAAGGGAATCAGCCATTTCGTTTAACAACAAACCTTTGTACCCTGGTGCCCAGATTAAATGACTACTTCGGAGATGACAGGGAACAAATGATTTAAAAAGTTTCAGTATGGGTGAGCAACTGGATGTGGACAGAGAAGACCACACTGATAATGAGTCAGTTATGATTGCTACGACTGGAATCGAAGTATTTACCTTGCGCAAAGCTAACATTATTACCATAAATTCAGCCAGGGAGACAGGAAGAAAATTCGGTAAGTGAAGTGAAAATGACCAATCAAGTACGGGGCAATATATTTCAACGCCTGATTTTTCATATGATTGCGATGCGTCCGTTGCAATAATGACATTCGTTTGGTAGAGTACTTAAATGTGCCTGTAGGTAATAGTTTAGCGTGAGTTGGGAAGACATCATGGTAAACAATTTCTGGAGAAATTTGTTGCACATTTAAAGGAAGCAGATCACGAACTTGTACATTTAGAGGCTCAAGTAACGATTGAACAAATACTATTTGTGATTTGTGAAATCTGGGCATATGCGCGGATAAGAATAGATCAGGATTGGAAATAAAAATAATTTGATCAGGGTTAAAGATTGCTTCATATAATCGTAAATATGTCTGCACAGTAATAATGTTAAAGCGACATAAAGGGGTTGGTATTCGTGCTTCAAGGTATAACACTGCTTTTGCAGTATACTTCGGAAGTCCTAACCAGAACCGTAAGGGCTCTCTTTCGAATAGAACGAGCGGCCGAAGCCTGCAGGCTGCCTCACCAGAAAAAATAACGCAGCCATACTCTAACACAGGTCGGGCATACATTTTATATATCATCAAAAGTGCCTTCGTTCTCATCCCTGATCCACAACAAACGTCGTCTTCGTCGTTGCTCCAGCAGTGCCCGCATTTGTCCCTACATTACAAAACATTTCTTTTTGGCCTAACGAAATACTAAAAAAGGGCATAGGTTTTGGTCTTTAAACTCACTTACAAACAAATGGGTGCAACTTTGTTCTACTAAAACAGCAACTACGTATATACTCCTATAGTTTGTCTGTGTTTCACGTGCATGTACTTAATATATACGGAAAATTGCCCACCTCCTGTAACTCTATAGCCACATGCGTAAGACGAAGGACTGATGCCGCGTAAGCGATGACGTATGTATTTGTCTTTCGTTGCAGCCCGTCGACAAGGCAGGGTCAGACGTGCAGCTCCAGCCCGGAGAAGTTCACATCACGCTTCGACCAGGTGGGTGTGTTGGTTGTGCTGTGTTCAAGGTTCAGTGGTCGCGACAGCTAAAGCGTCTGGTATAACGTCTGCAAAACGCGGTTCTCGCTGCAAGAACCACTCACGGTTCCCCACCGGACGGTCGTCTCCTTGCCGTCGCGCCATCTTATCTCGCTCTCGTGTGTCACATATATAGCATCGTCGTAATTCCAAATACGCAGTTCAGTTTCGTGTTTAGCGTGAAAACATTTGCCTGTCGTCAAAACATTTGCGGGAAAACTTTTATATTTGCCTGTTGGCCAGGTTAGCATAGGGTCTTTGGGTTCGGTTCGCGCCACGGCTGCTGATAAGCGTGTGTGGAAAGCGTACGACAGCACCTGACAAATGTTTGTTCCGTGCCCCTGGTTCCGTATTCACAGAAATGTCTTACGGCAAAACTTTTCGTAAGAGGATATTCCAGCCAATCACGATGGGAGACATACCATTAGCGAAAGCCTGCGGACAATTGTGAAAACGTATACACGAAAGGAAATGTTTGCGAACTCGTCTCTTGACCCGCGGGCCTCGGCCAAAGATGGCTGGCTGCCCCCCCAACAAGCGATGGAAATCCTGGTGGTGCGCAGTTTTAGAATTGCCTTTATTTTGACTGTGTCAATACATGGGTGGAATGTTTCAGTTCATTGGAGCCATCGCAGAAGCACTTTGACGAACGTTTTCCTTGGTGCAGGTTCGAAGCAGACGTTTACCGTTCGTTACCGCCAGGCGGAGGACTATCCGGTGGACCTGTACTACCTCATGGACCTCACTCATTCCATGAAGGAGCACAAGGAGAGGGTGGCTGAGCTCGCCGATGACCTGGGTGAGTCCAGCTCTCGAGAAGTCGTGAACATGTTTCTTATTCTTATGTGATTCTTAAAGAGAAAAGAAGAGAAAAGTGAGCCCCGTAACTGTCTGCATCAGAGTGCGACACCTCAACAGTAGCTCACGAGGGATGGTGGTAAGGAGGAATTAAAAGGATAGTATTAAAAGCCAAAGAAGTAGACAGAGGAAGGAGAGAGCGAGGAGCAGGGACAGCGAACGACAGAAAACGACGGAAGTAAAGAGGAGATAGAAAAGATGGACATGGTCGCAGTAGTCTGAGGACAGGGCACCACTCGGCGATAGCTCTTGTCGGCGTCAGGAGATTGCGTTGGGCGAGCCTAGTCGGCCAGACCTGCGCTGTCGTCGGAGATCGCGGGGGCACAACCGGTCGGCACGAAAACTAGAGAGCGAGTCCTCAACCTGTTTGATGAATTTAGAGTATATGTACCTTTGCAAGCAAATTTTCATCGTATTTCTCTCGGTCTCAACATACGCGCTGCGATGTGGTTAACCTGCCATAAGCTCTTAAAAAAAAGAGAGCATTCGGAATGCTTTTTTGTGACTTCCGACTTGCCACACGGCATGGGTGTAACACGCACTTTCTCTCCTTCGGCGTTTTTCACCGTATTTTGAAAGTGCCAGGCAGGCGTTGTTTATGTGCAACGGCATGCCTCGCGTGAGCTCACACGTCACGTATGCATATTATTAGAACACTTGCAAAGGGCCAGAGTGCAACGCCAAGCCGAACAAGTGCCATCGTCTGCAATTATTTGATTTCGTAGGAAACTGTCATGTTCTTACGGGTTGACTCCGAGGCAGCTGCTAAGGAGTGGACGCTTGGAGCCTTCAGTCCAGGGCCCCTGTGGCCTTTGCCATCTTGCAAGCTCTGTCGATCAGCTTGAGCTGTTCTTCAGGCTTAGAGCAGGACAGCGCTGCCTTCCACTGCTCCGGTGTTGGTGTACAGTTTCTTGGCACTACCTGCGTGTGCCGGCAGGCCCATGTCACGTGGTAAAGTGTGGGGTGTTCTCTGCATAGCGGGCATTTGTTGGCGTACTTTCCCGGATAGATTTTACTCAGAAGACTGAGATTGGGGTACGTATTAGTTTGCAGCTGTCTCCAGGCAATCGACTGCTCTCTGCTGAGGACTTTGTGGGGAGGGGCGTATATCCTCCTCAGAGCTCTCTGGTGTTCTAAAATTGCTCCATAGCGTCTATAACTGTGGTTGGTTCCTCGTCGTTGTGCGCCCCCCGGTCAGCGTATTCTCGGGCAATAGCGTCGGCTCGCTGGTTCCCTGTCACAGTTTTATGGCCTGGTGTCCACGTAATGGAGAAGCTCGAGAAGTTGATTTTTCTTCCTTTGAGTATACGGATGGCAGCACTGGATATATGTCCACTGCTGTACCGTCGACACGCTTCTTGCGAGTCGGTAACTATTTCTGTAGTAGACTCTTCGCTCTGGTGTGTGATGGCGAGCCTGATTGCTACTCTTCTTTCTCCCTCTTAGATCCTTGCCTGCAGCATTCCCCGTGTCGCTGAACCATGCTTTTTTACGGGCTGCAGAACGCGTATTGTGGCAGATTTATTCTCCTAACAGTAACAACTAAGATCCTTCAGCCCCCTCCTCACAGAGAACTACACAGAGCCCAAGCAATGATTCTTAGACTCATACAGACGGATTCACATCGAAATTGTGTCTTATTTCATAAAATTTACCCAGATACGTACATTAGTGGTTCGTGCCCCCGTTGTGGGGAAGTAGCCAATTCAGAGCTCATGCATGCTCGTGCCGATGCCCCTCGTCACTGGGCTGTCAAGCCAAGCCCAGCGGGGCTCTGCCGTCAGAATCCCCGGGATCAGCTTTAGGCCGTGCAGAGGGCCTACGATGTTGCGGCGGTCAGCCTGCCCGTCCTAAATGTGGGAGCGAGAAGCCCACTGCGCGAATATTTCTAGACTATTAAGTTCCTCCATCGATCCATCTATCTTAAAAGTAAGCACTTCTCCTTTCCATTGACGTAATCCTAACGTATACCATATAGGAAGTGTATTACGTTGCGTTACGGCGTCATAAAAGCTCTATGCGAAGAACGCAGCACTCCGAGAGCGAATTCATGATTGCTTAGTGTGATCATTTCAGCTGCGGGAGAACGTTGGCATATGCAGAGCTTCTGGGCAACCTTGAAAACTTACGTTTGAGATTTCGCTTAAAGAACCCGTACAAAAGCCTGATTGGTTTACGCCTAGCAACATCGTCGACTATCCGCGACAGAAGCTATCGTCCAGATTTTTACAATAGCGCGGGGACACACAAGCAGAGAGAGAAGAAGAATCTGTAGCGTGTCGCGTAATCGTCATGACAACCTCTTCTGCATTACACTGTTCTGCGCCACCTTTCACGTGGAAAATCAGGTGAAACGCACGCGTGCACAGGCGTCCGCGCAGAGGAGGCCGCCCCCTATAGTCATCCATAAGAATAGGGGGGGGGGGGGGGGGGCAAAGTCTGCCCTATATTTTGACCAGCTTTGATTTAGTAGAAAGAAGGAGGGGGGCGTTGCTGGCATAACACCTTCCCCACTTTTGATGGGGGAGCCTTGCGCACGTCTATGCGCACGTTGTTCGTTGAATTTTCGTAACATGTTCGTTCGTGCGTGATACACTTAGACGGTGATTCGAGTGCTCGCTGATTGCTCTCTTCTCCTTTGTTTGGTGAAATCGACGGCTTCGTTGTGTTCAAGCTTGCCCTTCGGTACGCCTAGAGACGAGACGTCGCTTCATTTGCGTCCAGCAACGGAAACACTCTGTACACAGATTAAACAGACGATGATGTATGTCTTTGCGTTGCAACTTTCGAGCAGCAGGTGGCGCAGTGAACGAGCAATCTGAGCAATAACACCGCAACCGCGCTGAGTTTCCGCGATGGAGAATCCAACGTAAACTGCCCGCTTGTCTCGTACCGTCGCGGAGTACAACGTATCGTTACCCTGCTTCATGGCGTCCGGGCTCACGGGCGCAGGTCTGACCCCGGCCTTGGCTGTCGCGTTTCAACAGAGGCGACATGTCATAGTACATCGCACAGCACCTTATGTGCAGGTTAAAAAAAATGTATCTCTCTATATATTTTTTCTATTTTCGGACACACGGCAACAGTGCACGAAACAGTAACGGCGCGTTCACGTATACACTATATAGCTGTCCTCTGTACGGGTCACGCATGTATGCGTGACTCCGGAACATGGTCAACGCCGACGCCTATCTCAGTCTTGTTTACGCCGATGCGTTGTTTTCAATGAAAACATTGGCCTGCATAGCATACAACCCTGGCGCCACCGCGCCGAGGTTTCCAAAACCTGCACTGTAATGAAAAAAAAAAAAAAAACTGACGTCGATCTTGCCTAAGCTGCGTTTCTCCTCCGCGCTCACAACGTTCTTTCAAGCGCGAGCGCTGTTATTTATTGCGTAATTCAGAGTCCGTACATGCATGTTTTCGAAGGTCGCTGCCAAGATAAGCCGGCAATGGTTCGCGCGTACGCAGCTTCGCAGAGTCGAGCGGCGCGACCTGCGGCGACTGGCGTATCTCAAACCGGCTTGGCTTGCATCTGCGGAGATATGTACACCCGTTATAGTCGCAAAACACGTGTCGCGTCTTGCACGGCAGCTGCAGCTGTTTTCTGTATATATATATCGTCGTGTTCACTTGGTTCTGCAGCGCGCCCGTCATGCATTGCGTGTGTTTTGTTTAACCTTATAAATGAAGCCGTCTTTGCACGAATAAATCTACCGCTGCGTTGCTGCCTATGTACCACCACTACGTAAACACTGGCCTCCAGGCTTCTGTAGTTGCGGAACACCTGATCACGGCGGTGGTCGAAACGGTAACGCACCTCATAGGCCAATCAGCTCGCGCGGGATAGGGTTGGTTCGAGGTTGCTGGAGAAGGAGCAGATGTCCATATGATGAAATGACGATCATGTTTATAGCACAACGCCACTGCTTCGGTTCCCAGATAGGAGAGAGAAAGAGATACACTCGTGTGCTGTGCTTTGGGCGCACGCTAAAGGACCACAGGGGCTCCGAATCTAATTAGAGGTATTTTTAAGTATAAAATGATGATCATGTCTATAGCACAACGCCACTGCTTCGGTTCCCAAATAGGAGAGAGAAAGAGATACACTCATGTGCCGCGCTTTGGGCGCACGCCAAAGGACCACAGGGGCTCCGAATTTAATTAGAGGTATTTTTTGTAAATTGCTCCCGCCTGCACGAAGTACAAACATGCTTGGGGCTGTAACACTATTTAACATATACTAAGAATTAGCATGTGTTTACACCACAAAGCTTTAATTGGAGTTCAGATTGATCACAACGGTAAGCCTGTGGTCAATGTTTGAAGACAGAGGGTACGTATGTACTAATGAATGTTTATAGGCTGTATCTATGCTTCTCTGTATTCTGAGTGGATTCTGAGTGGATCTATTCGGCGTGCCATTTCGCAGTGCAGAACATGCTGAACGTGACGAAAAACTTCCGCCTCGGTTTCGGCTCGTTCATCGACAAGGTGGTGCTGCCGTACGTCGACACCACGCCTGCCAGGTGAGGACTTTGTCCCAACCCACCTCTCCTGCCCCTCACTTCGGCAGGCTGCATGGCTGTCAAATACCGACAGACCTCTTGTCAGCTTATCGCTCAGAGCAAATACTTCGCCGCTCACGCCCGGCGCCATGCAGGGCTTGTCATACTGCGCGCCGTCTCGACCATTGCTCCTTGGACTCAACAAGATGGCGACTCCTCGCTCTTTGCGTTTGTATATAGTTCAGAGCACGAGCTCGCCCTCTTATCTCTCGCACTGATAAAAATGCCGCGTCGTTTTTGAGGTACTTAGCCGTCCGTACCTTTTCACGACAGTTTCGCAACATCGGTATAGTGCTGACGCCAGTTGTGTATATGATAGAGCAGGGGGCGGTAAGCGTCTCGGAGAAGACGACTTGGGTGAGGTGTTGATACAAGAAATTTAGCGTAGGGTGCAGGAACGTGCCGGCCGCACGCATAGCGCATCCTGCTTGCGCATACATGCAGTGTTTAGTCTTTCTTTTAAAGGAAATAACTTCAAGCGCTTTAGCTCTTTCCCCTGCCAGTTTCGGGGTAGGTTGTTGGAGGCTTTCGCTGCCGATGCAAGAGATGCCGACCCCAGGGGCGGCCTCTTCAGCTGACGCTCGAGTTCGCTGCGGAAACGCCGACTATATTTAGAGTTCTTGAAGAAGAGGATGCGCTGTCCACTTGTGCGATAGTAACGCTGAGGGTGTGCCGGTCAATGACTCCGTTCTGTACGAAACAACACCGTGAAACAATTATCTAACGCTACACCGAGGCATGCTCGTTTCTGTAAAAACAAAATCGTACCATTTTCACCAATAAAGAAAACGACTGGGTCGCACTGTGTGGATGGTCGCTTTTACGTCGGCATGTTTTCACCGGTGGTTTCTGCTCAATTTTGAACGTGCGTCTGCTTGTCTTGCTGCATGACAGGCAGGTTATCTCTTTCTTTCATAATGCACCGCGCTGCGTGTATAACTTGAATATACTACCATGCATTCGACCACGTCATGTGTCGCAGGCTGCGGAACCCGTGCCACGACACCGAATGTGACCCGCCCTACGGCTTCCACCACCAGTTGGCGCTCACGTCGAACAGCAGCCTCTTCACCGTACGTGGCGTACATACAGTATACGAATATATCAGCTCAATATGCCTGTTTTTAAAGCGTGCTCAGAGGAAGTATCCTGTGTGAAGCGTGTGCACGTGTAATGAGAAAGGCTGGGTCTGAGCTGAGCTATAACAGGGTTCCTTGTATAGTTACAGATTATGCAGTCTGCAGTTTATGCATGGTTTCGCCTTTGTCGTAAAGAAGTTGTAAAAAAAAATGAAGTGATTTGGTTGGTGCATATAACCTGAATGCAAAAAAAAACAAGTACTCTTTGGGACAAGTACTCATGAAAAGAAAGGCCATGACTTAAAATAATTAACGCTGGACAAACAGTGACAATATTTGTAAAACGAATTGATGTATATATAACGTCAGAGAACTGGAATGCACTGTTATTCACTCAATTACGATTTTAATCGCGCGTTACGATGTGATCTTTTAAATACTACAGTGTTGTACAGAATTTAGAATGATGGGTCTGAATGAGTTCGTACGGGACTCTCTGGGAGTCATCATTAAATAGAGTCTGGCTAGCTTGTGTCATGATTGCAAACAAGCGCGAAAAACCCTAGACACAAGAAGAACAGATGGTTCGTCCAATCTTTTCTTCTAGTGTCATGCGGCTCAAGTGACTCAAGCGTCGACGACTCAATTCTCTAGTCCCTATACTTTCTCCCTCTCGTGGTCTGCAGGAGAAGGTGTCCTCTGCCGGACTGTCCGGCAACCTGGACAATGCTGAGGGTGGCTTCGACGCCATCATGCAGGCCGTCGTCTGCAAGGTGGGGAAACACGCCTCGGTCACTGCCTTGGTCGCGTATTGAACTGCCATTGACGCTTGTCGCACAATTTCCCCTGCAGGAGGCCGTGGGCTGGAGCCAGAGGTCCAGGAAGATCCTGCTCTTCGCCACGGACTCCATCTTCCACTCCGCCGGCGATGGACTGGTGCGTGAACAATGCTTCATACCTGGCCTTTCAGTGGGTCTGAATCGGGTTGGTTCAGACGTGGGAATTTCCGAGCACGCGTCGTCTCAGCCTCACGTGTGCTAGCATAACCTAACCTATAGTTTAACCCACGATAAATCTTGGCGAACATTCATGTGGAACTTACTATATATTTTTTAACGTTTTCGAATACTGCCTATTTTTCTGTACGCATATATAGGCATGTCCTTCGCATTCGGATCTCTGAAGCCGTGGCCACTTACGATTGTGTTTTGTTTCATTTCTATGTCGCGCATTTCATATTCTTGTATTGCCAATGAAGCGTTTTGTTTATGCATACTTATCAGTCGTATGGGTACGATTACTTTGATTGATTGATTGATTGATTTGTGGGGTTTAACGTCCCAAAACCACCATATGATTATGAGAGACGCCGTAGTGGAGGACTCCGGAAATTTTGACCACCTGGGGTTCTTTAACGTGCACCCAAATCTGAGCACACACGATTACTTTGATAACATTTCGCGTTTTACGTGCCAATACTACGATGATGATTAAGAAGCTCGCCGTAGGTGGAAATTTCGACCGTTGGGTGTTCATTAACCTGTACTGACATCGCGTGTGCAGTACACGGGCCTGCTCTAGCATGTATCGCCTCCATCGAATCGAGAACGTCGTGTATAGGGTTCGTACCCGCGACTTGTATGCGGTCCATTGCTATCGCCATGCAATGCGTCTCCTCGTGTTCATGCTGTTAGGTTCACCGTCCTTCGACTGTATAAATCGAGAGTATAAACTCACGCTAATCCAAGTACATCGCTCTCCAATTACCGCCCTAACCTCGTTTCGAACTAATAGGCTTTGACGCTGAAGGTGAACGACGTGTGACCCACATTCGTGTGGATACTCTAGAAGCTGCAGCTTTCTGGACTGAATTCCCGATTTCTGCTTTTTCTCACGCAAAATCTCTTTCAGCTCGGAGGCGCTGTCAAGCGTAACGACGAGCAGTGCCACTTGGACGAGGACGGCTTCTACTCGGAGAGTAAGGAACAGGTGCGTTATACCTCCATTGTATTCCACGGAGTGCAGCACACGGTACTCGTAATTGAAGCCGCGCAATCAAGGCTCGCCGTCATTACACGTGTAGAAGGAGCGAGCATGTATACCCACCCTCACTTGCGTGTGAAATGGGTCGCTTTTGAGTGCGGTGCCCTACGGCGCTGTTACACCGACTGTTTCTTCTTACGCTTCATTTTTTTTTCTTTCCTTTTGCCCTCGAGAAATCTGCGCAAATGTGTGCTTTCGTTTCCATAAATGCTCGAGCGATGCGTGTGAGCCAGCGCGTGCGACACTGAAAACTATGCACGTTTGCTCTTCAAGGTGTGTGCGCCCCGTGCCAGAGTTCCTCACTTTTTTCTTCTATTCTTCTTCCATTCTTCTTCTATTTATAAGCTCTTATGCGAGGAGGCTGCTGCGTCCTTCTTTTTCTTTCGTTTCTTCTTATATTTACTGGACACAGACCCGTAGCCAGGATTTTTTTTTTTTTTTGAGGGAGTTGGGGTGGGTGGGTTGCTTTTGTTGAAGGTCTTGAAACACACCCTATTTTATTATTCGTACAGAAAAAAGCGCTCCCCCACCCCACGCCATACAAATTTTTTGGGAGAGAAGGGGCAAGCCCCCCTCTCCCCCCTGGCGTTTGCACTTTCGCTTGGGTATCAATATAGGATGTCTGAGCAGGCTATTGGATGATACGGTATCATCGTAACGGCCGGGCACAGCCATGGAATTCGTGTTTCGTCGATGCCTTGCGAGTGCTTGCGGGTCCAGTGGTAAATCGTTCCGTGGTAAAGGTCCCACGCGCAGTAAATTATACGCGTAATCGTATTTTGTGTTACCCGTATAACTTACTGCGGTTCCACAGACGTACGGTCGTGGAAATATTCCGTACTCAGTAGCCTCCGCAGATAAACTGCAGGTATATGGGCTCTAAAGGTACTACATAATACAGAACAGTATAATACAGCATTCAATTACTTGCACGTAGTAATAGGTAACATACGTAATACAACTATTGTCTCATCTTCCGCAGGACTACCCATCCTTGAGCCAGATCGTGCGCGTGGTGCAGCAGAACAAGATCAACCTGATCTTCGCGGTTCCCGAGAAGGCGTTCGGCGTGTACGACACGCTCAGCTCGTTCATCGACGGATCCTCCGTGGGCACGCTCGCCGGCGACTCCTCGAACATCGTCCAGCTCGTCCGGGACCAGTACTACGTGAGTCCTGCGCTGAACGTCCCAAATGGCGTGCACGTGGAGTGTCGATTCCCGCTTCTACGATGTCGGTGTTTCGTATGAGAGATGTAAGAAGGATTGAGGGCCTAAGGAGTCGCGTATGGTGGACGAAACTTATATTAGCGACTTGTTCATCACCTGAGAGCGCTCAACACTTTCGACTCTTTTATACGCATTTCTTGTGCCTCGAATACTTGACAAATGAAAGTGGATTGATGCAGCGTGGTGAATAAACCCATGAAAATTTCAAAAGATCACAGCATATACACGGAGTTAATCATGATGAGTGGGGCGGAGCGTCCGTCCGACCGTGTGTCCATCCGTCCATGCGTCTGAACTGGCGGTTGGACAGAGGCACGGACGGATGGACAGAAGCACGGGCGGACTCAAGGACAGATGAATGGAAGCACAGACAGAAGCACGGACGGACGGACGAACGGACGGACGGAAGCATGAATGGATTCACGGACAGACGGACGGACAGAAGCACGGACTAACAGACAGACACTGACGGACGTACGGATGGACGGACAGAAGCACGGATGGACATACAGACGAACGGACGAAAGCACGGACTAACAGAAGCACGGATAGACTCACGGACGGACGGATGAATGGACGGTCGAACGGATGGATGCATGGATGGCTGGACACGTGGACGGACAGACGCTTCACCCCACTCATAATTCACTCCGTGGATACGCTGATAAAACCAGTAGCGCAATCTTGTTATATTATTCCCAATGTAGTGGAGCATACGCACCAACGCGTATGCGCCTTCCGAAGACAACGAAAAGCCCGTGCTCTGATTGCGCGAGAACCTGTGCCGCCTTTGTCAGACTTGCTGTTCGCCCATTTTCCGTCGCGACCTCGTTTCGACTCCTCTGTTCTAATAAACATCATCGCATTTGGTGGAGGCTGCTGACATCCCTAAGCAGACCTGGAGCTCCGCTCTCGCAAGTTGGCCGAAAGACTACCGTACAACATGACTGACGCAGTCGCCAACCAGCCCATCCCAGCACAGCCAGCACCATCGGCTGCCCCGTCGACCTGCCCCGGTGCCACCCGTCAGCGGGACCCACCAATCTTCAGCGGCAGTGGTGAGCAAGACGTCGAAGACTGGCTCTCCTTGTACGAACGCGTGAGTGCCAGCAACAAATGGGACAACGACTCTAAGCTTACCTATGTCATCTTTTACTTGGCTGACGTCGCCAAGCTATGGTTCACCAACCGCGAAACCGCCATCGCCAGCTGGTCCACCTTCAAGACCCTCGTGACCGAAGCGTTCGGCCGACCAGAGGTCCGCAAGCTCCGCGCTGACCAGCGTCTGCGCCATCGAGCCCAGCAACCTGGTGAGACCTTTACTAGCTATATTGAGGATGTGCTCGACCTCTGCAGGCGTGTTAACTCATCCATGCCTGAAGAAGAGAAAATTCGACATATTCTCAAAGGCATCGAGGATGGCGCATTCCAGATGTTGCTGGCGAAGAGCCCGACCACGGTGGCAGTTCTCGTAAGCCTGTGCCAGAGCTTCGATGAATTGCGTCGTCAGCGTTCCATCGCCCGACAGAGTGTCCCATCACCAGATTCGATCTCGGTCGTCGCACTCGCCAATGGCAACGTTCATCAAGGAACTCTGTCGAACCAGATTAAAGACTTCATCAGGGAGAAAGTCGCCCGACAGCTTTCCCTGCTGCCGCATAGTGACGCGCCCACGACAAGCCTCCCTTCGAATATGCAGCAGGCCATACGCACTGAAATTTGCAATGCACTCCCTACAGTTCCGGCCTCTTACCCGTGCACTTCGGTGCCATCTGATCTCTCAACTGCTGTCTACGCACCAACTGCGCCGCCTTCACCTCTCAGCTACGCGGCTGTGGTCGCGCGGCCCCCACCGCATCCAGTCGCCTTATCGGCTCCACCTCCTCCGGCCTCGCCTCCAGTCTACAGGCCCCCACCTCGCTTTTTCCGTCCATCTAATGAGTGGCGCACCCGAGACAATCGTCCCATCTGCTTCGCGTGTGGCATCGCTGGCCACATTGCGCGCTTCTGCCGCCGCCGTCCCACGCCTGCGCACGCATACTTCGGAGCACCTACCTACGCACCGCAGCAGACCACCACGTCTGCATATGAACAGAGGCACTCCGACTCGGATCGCCACCCATCGACTGCTCGTTTCCCATCACCTCGTCGCCGATCGCCATCACCTATGCGTCGTCGACCACCTCTTGAGGAGGGAAACTAATCAGTGCAGTTCCGGAGGCAAGAACTGCAACTTGTGCGCAATTCCCAAGGCCTCCAATTTCGCCGCAAAATGTTCTTGACGTCAATGTTGAGGGAGTCGCCACATTAGCGTTAATTGATACCGGGGCCGCCGTTTCTGTGATGAACGCAAACTTTTGTAGGAAACTGAAGAAAGTGACCACATCCCTCAGTGGCTTGGTGCTGTCCAGGGCTAGCGCGCAACGCATTCATCCCTCGGCTGTGTGTACGGCGCGCGTCGTCATCCGAGACGTTTTGTACGTCGTACAGTTTTTTGTTCTACCATCTTGCTCTCATGACCTTATCCTGGGTTGGGATTTCTTATCACGTCATGAAGCTATCATCGATTGTTCCCGTGCCGAAGTGTCCCTTGTGCCAACATGTGAATTTCCACCACCCGACCGCTCTCCTCTGCTCTGCAAAGTCATCGCTGATGACGACATCACCTTGCCTCCTGAAGCTTCGGTCCCTATTAGCCTTTCATGTCTGGCGCAACCTGACGGCACGGTGGTGTTTACGCCATCTCCGGTTTTTACTGAACGCAAGGGCATCGTTCTCCCATTTGCTGTTCTTACAATTGCGTCTGGTTTAACCGTAATGCTGGTCACCAACCACTGCAACTACCCCATTGGCTTACTTCGTGGTGAAACGTTAGGATATGTGCAACCTGTCGACCATATCGATGATATTATTCTTCCCGACGAAACGCCATGTCACATTGCTGCAATCACTCATGCGTCTGAGCCATCAAGTTCGTCAGCCTTCGACAATGCTATTGACGCAGACCTTCCCCTCTCGCATCGCCGCCAACTTGTTGCTCTCCTTAACAAGTTTCGTTCTTTTTTCGACTTTCAAGAACCTGCTTTGGGACGCACCACCACTATCGCACCACCACCACATGCTTAAACGTGGAGTCATACAGCCTTCTCAAAGCGCTTGGTCATCACCTGTGGTTCTGGTCAAGAAAAAAGATGGCACCGTACGATTTTGCGTGGACTATCGCCGCTTAAACAATATTACGAAAAAAGATGTCTACCCGCTACCACGAATAGACGATGCTCTTGACTGTTTACAAGGCGCCGAGTACTTTACATCTTTGGATCTGCGTTGTGGGTATTGGCAGGTGCCAATGGCTGAATGTGATCGCCCTAAAACAGCCTTTGTAACGCCGGATGGCCTATATGAGTTCAAAGTCATGCCATTTGGGCTCTGCAACGCGCCTGCCACATTTGAGCGCATGATCGACACCATCTTGCGTGCCCACAAGTGGAAAACCTGCTTATGTTACCTGGACGACATCGTAGTCTTTTCATCTGATTTCCCGACACATCTTGCTCGCCTCCAAGAGATTCTGACGTGTCTAACTTCTGCAGGCCTACAACTTAACTCCAAGAAGTGCCACTTCGCAGCACGAAAACTAACCATCTTGGGACACGTCATCACCAGAGACGGTGTTCTTCCGGATCCCGATAAGCTTCGAGCTGTCGCTGACTTTCCGTTGCCCACATCACTGAAAGCCCTAAGAAGTTTCGTCGGTCTCTGCTCCTACTTTCGTCGCTTCGTGCGCAACTTCGCGTCCATCATCGCACCTCTCACGAGTCTGCTTTCCAACAGCAAAGGCATATCTGCATGGTCACCTGCATGTGACGACGCATTTCGCCAGCTGCGCCGCCTGCTGACCTCACCACCTATGCTTCGTCACTTCGACCCTGCTGCGGCCACAGAAATTCACACCGATGCAAGTGGCATCGGTCTTGGTGCAGTTTTGGCACAACGGAAAGGCACCCAAGCTGAATACGTAGTCGCCTATGCAAGTCGCGCTCTCAAGAAGGCTGAATTGAATTACTCCGTGATAGAGAAGGAGTGTTTGGCCATAATCTGGGCGTTGACGAAGTTTCGCCCGTACCTTTACGGCCGTCCTTTCGACGTGGTCACAGACCACCACGCTCTATGTTGGCTGTCCACCTTGAAAGACCCGTCCGGACGCCTGGGGCGTTGGGCACTTCGATTGCAAGAATACGACATCCGTGTCGTATATCGTTCCGGTCGCAAGCATGCGGATGCCGATGCACTTTCGCGATCGCCATTAACACCAGATGTGGCTTCTCTGTCTCCCCTTTTTACCACCTTGTCACCACTCGACACGACTGACATGCTTTCGGAGCAGCGTAAAGACCCACACCTTGCCTTGTTAGTCGACTACCTTACCGATCCGTCTGCTGTCCCTTCCACGAGAGCGCTACGCCGGCAAGCAGCCCACTTTTCCTTACGAGACAACATTCTGTACCGCCGTAACTACATGCCTGGTGGTCGGAAGTGGCTCCTTGCTGTCCCAACTCATATGCGCTCTGACATCTGCATTAATTTCCATGCAGATCCCCAAAGTGCTCACGCAGGTGTCCTGAAAACCTACGAAAGGCTGCGCCAACGCTATTACTGGCGAGGAATGTATCGTTTTGTGCAGAAATACGTTCAGTCTTGCACCACTTGCCAACAGAACAAGACACCTCCGCGGCACCTTACTGGCATGTTACAGCCGCTCCCGTGCCCGGCTCGCCCATTTGACCGCGTGGGTATAGACCTCTATGGCCCCCTCCCATATAGTATCTCTGGAAACCGGTGGATTATTGTCGGAGTCGATCATCTGACACGCTGCGCTGAGACTGCAGCTCTACCGGCAGCAACCGCCCACGAAGTTGCACTCTTCATTCTACGCAGCTTCATTCTACGCCATGGTGCTCCGCGGGAATTACTCAGTGATAGGAGTCGAGTGTTCCTGTCGGAGGTCATCCAAGCTATCCTCGCTGAATGCAACATTATCCACCGGAAATCTACCGCATACCATCCACAGACAAATGGTCTTACTGAGCGGTTCAACCGCACACTTGGCGACATGCTGAGGATGTACACCTCCTCCGACCACACTAACTGGGACGCTGTATTGCCCTTTGTTACCTTCGCTTATAACACCGCGACGCAAGCGACTACCGGTTTTTCCCCGTTCTTTCTATTGTACGGCCGCGAACCTTCCCACCCACTCGATACTATACTACCGTATCGCCCTGATGCATCTGAGTGCTCCCCGCTTTCGGAAGTCGCCAGATACGCTGAAGACTGCCGTCAGTTGGCTCGGTCTCTGACAAGTGATGCTCAAGGCCTACAAAAGACTCGACACGACGACGCTCACCGCATAGCTCCTACATTTCGTGCTGGCTCCCTTGTGTGGCTTTGGGTGCCCCCGCACGTTCCTGGCCTGTCTTCTAAACTTCTGGCCCGGTACCATGGTCCCTACCGTGTCATTGACGCGACCTCCCCGGTGAATTACGTCATCGAGCCATTAACACAATCACCAGATTTGCGCCATCGAGGACGCGAGACCGTACACGTCGACCGTCTCAAGCCCTACTACGACCCCCTCATTGTGCCTACTCCCTGAGTCGCCAGGATGGCTACCCTTCACCCCGGGGGTATTGTAGTGGAGCATACGCACCAACGCGTATGCGCCTTCCGAAGACAACGAAAAGCCCGTGCTCTGATTGCGCGAGAACCTGTGCCGCCTTTGTCAGACTTGCTGTTCGCCCATTTTCCGTCGCGACCTCGTTTCGACTCCTCTGTTCTAATAAACATCATCGCACCAAGGACTTATACACACAACGCCATCTGTAGAGCAAGTCATAGTCTAGTGGTGGTTGCGTACTACATACTGAGGAGGGAACGACCCACGGCCTGACGAGCTTCGCCCCTAAAAACAAAGGGAGGAGGAGGAGGAGGGGGAGTGTTTGACCCACAATTTTGCTTTGTGTGTGTGTGGTGGGGGCTGTAATAATAACTGAAACATAGGTTCCGTCTTCAAATAGGCAAGGCCTTCAGCAAGTGTCATCCCCTGAAGATTATTGGCTACAGGCCTGCTTAGAACGCGCATAAGTTTTGCGATGCGTTTCAGCAGGGCTTTTTCTCGACGCTGCCGTGTTGAGTGATGGTTTTCGTGGTTGGAATTGGGGCTGTTGTGAATGCGACCGGCAACACCACATATGCGCTTAATGTTAACAGCTTATACGCATGTTCATTCGGGTGATGTCCCAATAGAAGTATGTATGCTTCGGACGTGCGGTCCATGTGGTCATTCAATGGTGTCACACTCTCATTTCATGACCGCAGAAAATTCGTTCAGAAGTGGTCCTCCAGGACAACGCACCCGACTTCCTCAAGGTCAGCTACAAGAGCAGCTGCCTGCGCGGGTGAGTGAGTCTTCTATACATGTGCTTCACACAGACCACGCGCTGCTACCTTTCGTGCTTGTGTTCGACGCACTAATGGTGACGTTTTGCTCGCAGGTCTAGTTCCAGAGGTCTGAGCAACGCCTGCGATGGCATTAAAGTCGGCGACGAGGTGAGCTCGAAAACAACGCGTGTAGATCGTGGAACGTGCAACACTTAGTCAGCGCAATAACTTTGGCGAAAGCTTTCGAAATGTATTTCGAAGCGAGTGTGCCCGGCGGAATAAACTATATGCGAAAGAGAGTCGGTGGCAGTCGCTCAATTAAGGTGAATGGAGTCCCTGTAGTCCAGAATGCCGTGGGTCTGAGCCGACAGCGCGCCAGACATCGCCGGTCTTCAAGGCTTGAGCTTGTTAAGCCAGACCTTCCACCACTCGACGTTTGGTTCAGTGATGGGTGGTATTGCTGAGTCTCGGACTCCCATATATGGTAAAGTGCATTTGTTGCACAGCAGAATTAGCAGCCATTTCGACGCGGCATGCGTATTGACAGAAATCGCTGTACTATGTGCCGCTGCTGGTGGTCGGTAAAGTTGTAGAACTGCTCCAACTTCGTTTAGCACCGTGCACAGAACGCGTGACGCAACCTGTCGCGCATTTCGTGTTCATTAAGTACTTTGACGGCACGAACGTGCCTTATAAATTTTGTATTAGTTCCTGTATCAAAAGCTTTGTCTTGTGGCCAAAAGAAAATCCTGCATTACCAAGGTATACTGCGAACTTGCAAGTAATAGCTGTCGAGGGTCTGTGCTTCGCACTCTGTGTGTGTTCTTGATTCCCATGCATACGGTTCTTTTCTCATATTCTAAAATTTCACGCATGTGTGAACTGCGCCCCACTTTCTTTGAAAGTATAAATATTGTTTGAGAAAGATAGCGATGTCATGACTTATCATACAATGTACCTTTACGGACCGATATCTCGATCCATTGCTCTTGTAGCGACAGGCGTTGCCTCGTCTGCGCACGTGAATGAACTCTTTCATACAATACGCTGAGGGCCTGCGTGTGTGCATGTACCTGCAGATCGAGTTCCAGGTGACCGTGGAGCTGGAGCAGTGTCCCGGCGACGGCGTCCAGGGGGGCCAGAGCACGGCGTTCCGAATATCCCCCGTAGGGGTGAACGAGTACGTGCAGGTGCGCGTGGAGCCGATCTGCCGCTGCGCCTGCCAGGACGTCGTGGTGAGTGCGCATGTTGCCTGCCCGTGTTGCCTTTGATCTCGAAAGCCTTCACCGCAATGCTTACATGAGTTGTGGTTAAATGGAAACACCGGGACCGAACTTCGGAATACAGCGAAAATTGGTGGTGCGTGACGTTACCTAAAAGGCAACGAAGGGATCATAACTGGAACCACGGTGATCCGTCGTTGCTGCTCGTACACAACTAAGGCTTGCCTGGCTGTCCGCGCAGTTGTCGCAGCGCGGGCAGCGGATCTCGGACGCCTCGGTGAGATTCTAACCAACGAACCTATTCAAGTCTAATCATATGATCCTCCCCCCACTGCTAGCCACTGGAGGAACCGGCAAAGCATGCTATAGAATGTGTAGGTTGTTGAAGTAGCACTTGATCAAATTCCCGTTTTCCTTCGCCATGGTACACCATGTACGCTTCGTCTCACTACCTCACTGTATTGCGGTGAAGTTGTTATGAAACGTATAATGAATTGCAGGCTCGCTTCTGCCGGCTGCTACGCACAAATAAGAGAACGGCTTCTTTGAACGATACAAGATGAGACTAACGGGAGACAAGACCGTTCTAGTGTGTTTGCTGCCTCCTCTTGGCTTTTGCGAAAGCGCTGTTCTTTATCAATGGTGGCAGGGCGATTTCATACTGGGTGTAGCAGCGGTACGCCTGAGACTGCATAGAATTAGCTTCCGTCGTCAGAACTAATCAGATGCTCTCAGCTGCAAAGAACTCATAATATAAGGCGATGATCGACAGTAGATACGCATCTTCTTCTTCTTTTTAAATCTGTTATCACCACTTCCAGGTAACGCCCTCGCCAGATTAAGCAGATGCTATCGCCAGTTCATAGCGAGTCGTTTCAAGGGTGATGGACTAAACGAGAGTGATTATGTAGGATAAACGTATCTTAAGCTTCACGTTACTCACACGTATACACCCATGGTTGTCTCAGGAGGCGAACAGCAGCGCGTGCAGCGGCCGCGGCAGTGCTGTGTGCGGCGCCTGCGAGTGCGAGACCAGCTTCTACGGCAAGCACTGCGAGTGCCTGGGCAGCCAGTTGGAGCAGCACACGGCGCTGTGCCGGAGGTCAGTACGCAAGGAACCATTAGGACTGTCTTTCTTTCGCATCATGCTGTGAATTTAGCACGTGGTATTTATAGCGCAAAAGTGGAAAGTAGAGGAATCCTGAAAAAAAAAAAAGGAAGACACTGCACTGGGCGAGCGCTGTGTTACTTTGATAATTTGGGTTTAACGTCCTAAAACCACCATGTGAATATGACAGACGCCGTAGTGGCGGGCTGCGTAAATTTCCGGTGTTCTTGAACGTGAACTGACATGGCGCGACACACGGGCCTCTACCATTGCGGCTCCATTGGAATGCTACCGCGGCAGCCGGAATCGAACCCGTGACCCTTCGGGTCAGCAGCCGAACTTGTTTACTGATCCACCGAAGCGGACCGCTCTACACTGTGTCCTTCCTCTTTTTTTTTTTTTCACAATGTGTTTGCTTTCGAGTTTTGTACTAAATATGTCCGTAATTCAACACCAACTGGCCCAACACAGAAGTTTTATTGAAGCGGCTATGCGTAAAAAAAGAAAAAAAAAACATACGTGCGCACACAAAGGTGGCGTAGGGGGCAGACCTGCCTGTGACAGGGATGGCCAAGTCTGCCTCATATCTTTACCTTCTCGGACCTGTCCTGCCATTATTGTAAGGCGAAAATGTTGTAGGCCCGTGTGCTCAGATTCGGGTGCACGTTAAAGAACCCCAGGTGGTCGAAATTTCCGGAACCCTCCACTACGGCGTCTTTCATAATCAGTATGGTGGTTTAGGGACGTTAAACCCCACATATAAATCAACCATTATTGTAGGTGCAGAATTATGGTCATGTGGATTGCTTTTAATAATGGCGCCCGAGGACATGTACCTAGATGGAAATGTTTGTTCACGTCCCACATTTCCTTTCGGATAGCCGGGAAACAAAGCAAGCTTTGGTGAGATGCATGTCATCGCTTCACATTCATTTTTCTGTCCATTGCGTAGCTTGTTTCATTTAAAAACTCACTATAGGAGGGGAGGGGGTGTTGCATTGTGGTTAACTCTGCGCACGCCAATATATGTAGATGTAGGTCAAGTGTGCATGTATACGTGTACTTGCGACTTGCGGGGCGATGCGTCAGAAAGTGTCAGTGAGTATCCTGGGTGCTTGAAGCGTGGCGAATGGGTTGGGTAGGGGTGGATGATTTAACTACTCACCCCCCCCCCCCCCCGAAGTTTGCAACATTTCTTTTTGTTATGCATATACACGTATACGTGCACACATATAAAGACGCACGAAATTATGCAAAGTGCGTGTACCCCCCGCCCACCCAACAAACGAACACACACACACACATATGCGAGATGCTGTATGAGAGCTTGTGAAATCGACAGGCGGCTGTTGCTGGCCTATAGCTATCATATTCAGTCGCATAACATCACCATTTTTGGGCTGCATGGTGTTGGTCTCTCGAGGTGATCAGAGTAACTATTACAGAATAATTCTAACGCATGCACATTTATGCTACTTGGTTCTATTTCCTCCCACAGTGACAACTCGAGCGCTGAGCTGTGTTCACACCGCGGTGACTGCGTCTGCGGCGAATGCAAGTGCTACGATCCACCAGTGAGTATACAACGCACGCAGCTGTGACACCTCTCGCATTTAGCGATGATCTTTTTTTTTTTCCTTCATCAGTGGCGAGCACGCGTCGTCTTCGTGCCCGCGGCAGCTGCCGATTGCGCGATAAGCGCTCATTTGGCCTGCATGTATATAGCTCGTTTGCAGACATGTGAGTCAACGAACTCCGCTAATAACATATATACTTACCGCGTACTTCGTCCAATGTCGGTGACTAATATCTTGATAGTCAGTATACTTAGAAATAACAGAACACGTGAGGTAATACAAAGTAATTTCATTTGAGCGTTGTTCGTGCTTTTTTTTCTTTTTTTTTCAAGTCGCTGATTCTATACCCATCTTGAACACTTAATTAAAACCGATAGTGGTTGACCTTCGTCTCGTGAGGAAATTGGCAAGACCGTTGTGGATATGATTGTGCAGAAGCAGAAAACGAAGGACAGCTTAAGTTATATATATCTTACATTCTTTTACCGTCTTTCTCTCTTCATCTTCTTTACATTATTTCCTGTTACTCTGTCTTCAGTTTGCGTGCATGTTTCCACTTTTCCTTTCCATTCGTTCTAGGAAACAGTTCTTTCCCTTATACAGACGCAGCTGGCTGCATGCCTTCCTAGCTGCAGATGTCACTGATACGAGTATGGCCCCCGCGCCGTGCAGGATTCGCATGTTCACGCAAGTGCACACGTACGTGTCCTGACGCAGGGCGTTCCGGGAGGTCGCGTGTTCGGCCAGTGGTGCGAGTGCGACACGTTCTCGTGCGAGCGCGACTCCGAGGGCCGCGTCTGCGGAGGACCCGAGCGGGGCGTCTGCTGCGGCGGCGAGTGCCGCTGCCGACCCGGATGGCAGGGCTCGGCGTGCGAGTGCCCCACGGCCGCCGACACGTGCGTGGCGCCTCAGGACAGCGGCCGCCTGTGCTCGGGCCACGGGGAGTGCGTTTGCGGACGCTGCGTGTGCCACGCCGACGCCCGGGGACGCTTCGCGGGACCCTTCTGCCAGGACTGCGCGGTACGTGCACTCTATACCCGTATGCACCCACGCGTGGGACAATGCATCGCGAAGGCGCGTGACTTAATTCACTGTTTATAGGCACCCGGCAATGCAGTTTACGAGATCTCATGGTGGCGCCAGAACACACAGCCTAGCGAGTGGGCGCAGCAAAACCGAGTCTTCCAAATGCGTAACCTAGCGAGTAGGCGCGGCTACACCGGACTTGCAAGTTGCACGTGCATATTATTTTCTTTTTTTAGTTGTGAGCAGGGGGTGATGGTTGATTATGTAAGCGTTCTTTGAAAACGCGTCAAAAAGGGCATTGACAAGTTTCTCAATGTGTTCAGCGAGAGTTTCACTTTCTTGGTACCTCTGGCGATCGGTACCAACAATGCTGAGGCGGCCCAAAGAGGTTCGTTGCGCCCTCTGGTCCACTGTCGGGTGCCTATGGCGTTACACTCGTCACGGGGGTATACGTTCGTTGCGGTTACATGCTGCGGAACCGAGGGCCGCGGTTCGATGCCGGCTGCGGCGGTCCCATTTTCGATGAAGGCGACATATGCTATGTGTACGATGGAGGCCTGTGTAGTGTGTGATTTCAGTGCACATTAAAGAACTCCGGACGGTCAAAATTTCCGCAGCCCTCCACTAAGGTGTGTTTCATATACGTAGAGTAGTTTTGCACGTGAAACCCCCGATATTATTATTGGTGATGGAGGCTACCGCCGTTTTATTTACTTATTTGTTCAATCCGGTGGGCCAGGGCGCAAACCTTTAGCCTGTTACCGTCCTGTTGGTGAACAGCGCGGTTGGTATTACGCTTCGCAGGCCTGCGTGGGCCGGTGCTCGGAGTTCCGCAGCTGCGTCCAGTGCGTCGTCTTCCAGTCGGGCGAGATGAGCGAGGAAGAGTGCCGCCTCAACTGCAGCTCGCTCAACATACAACCCGTGGACGTCGCCGAAGGTGCGGGAGCTTTCTCGCCGTTTCTTGGGTTCGAGTTGGTCGGTGAAATGGTTTGCACCCACACCAACCTCCATCACGAGCAACGCTTCATGGATGTTTATAGTCATTGTTTTTTCTTCATACACGTTTAGTCATTGCATGCGCGCGTCCGCTGGCTATATCATTTTCGTTTTTCCTGTGGGGTTCGTTCTCGTGTTTTGCGGAAATGAAAAACACGTAATGCAGTCAGTAAGTTTAAAAAGTTAGAGAGCTTAGTGATTAAATAGCTAGTATGAACTCTCCACCCTGTGGTCAGGGGAGGTGCCAGGATTTGTTTACCAGGGGGGGGGGGGGGGGCGTAGCCACGTCAAATGTGTTCCTTCGTGGCAGCAGGTAAGCTGAGCACATATGTGTTGTGTTTACATTATGCTTGCTCTTGGGGGGGGTGGCAAAGGGGGGCAGGGGGAAATATATGGGGGGGAAGCGCCCCAGCCCCCGCATACCTTCTGCTGACGCCGCCCCTACCTTGTGGTCGGTATTGCGTCCAACATGTGAGAGTTCGTCTAATTGCTGGTTTCAAGGTTATTTCATCGCTAATTAATTTGGATGTGCTTTCGAATATAGCCGTTGCTATATCATCTTTGGCATCTTGGTTTTCTCTTTATGATCTGCCTTCCCCTTGCCGCGCCTCCTTGCCTCCTATATATATATATATATATATATATATATATATATATATATATATATATATATATATATATATATATATATATATATATATTAGGGAAAGAAGTGTATACCTAAGGGCTCGTTTTTCCGTGTTTAGACACAATATTAATGAGATCTAACAGACAGTAATGCCAAGGAATGTACAGGGGAAGTTATTAGAACCAATGCAATGTAAATAAGAAGAAAGAAAAGTGGATGAAAAAATAACCAGCCGTGAGCAGGAATCGAACCCACGACCTTCGAATAACGCGTTCGATGCTCTAACCACTGAGCTACCACAGCGGCCTTCTCTCCATCCACTTTTTATGGGTTTATATGTGAATTTAAAAGTAGGATATATATATATATATATATATATATATATATATATATATATATATATATATATATATATATATATATATATATATATATATATATATATATATATATATATTAGCTATCTAAACTGGTGTGTTTCGTAGAATCAACAAGAGACACGTGACCATTCTTTTCATGCGCGAAGCTTCAAGCACCGTGGTCGCACCGATGTGCTCGGTGGCTAATTCGTGACAACTTCAGGGCGATTTCGTACACAATTTAGCCGTCTGTGTTCGCGTAATATCTCCAAAGACGGCTGCGTCTCGAGAACGATAGCGTAAGGTGTGCTTCGCCTCGCAGCAACCGATCCCGAAGAGCGCAAGTGCATCTTCAAGGACGACGACAGCTGCTCCTTCTCGTTCGTCTATTCCTACGACGAGCAGAACGAACTGGTCATCAGGGCGCAGACCACAAAAGGTGAGGATCGAGACGTGACACCTAATGAAATCGTGTCGTCTTTGAGTGTTGGTTGTTCCGAGTGCGTTCTTTTGTATATATGTGTGTGTGAGTGATATTGAATAAAAAGAAGAGTGAGCCCCGTAACTGTCTATCAAGGGGAGGACACCTCAACAGTAGCTCACTAGGGATAAGGGTAAGGAGGGAACAAAATGATAGAAATAAAGGTATAGAGAGGGAGAGCGTGGCACAGGGACAGCGACACCCAGAAGCAAGAAGATAGGAAAGACGGACACGGTCGCAGGAATCCGAGGACGGGGCACCACTCGGCGAGAGCTCTTGTCGGCGTCAGGAGATGGCGTAGGGGGAGCCCAGTCAGCCAGAGCTGCGCGGTCGTCGGAGATCGCGGGGCACAACCGGTCGGCACGAAATCCAGAGAGCGAGTCTTTCTATATATATGACAACCTGCTTAGTTGCAACTAGCAGTCCCTATTGTTGCGTGTAGACAGACATATTTACCACATATGTCATAATGAATCGGGAAGGAGCCGATATGATAGCGTACTCGTGCAGATTCATCTTTCTAAGCCGATACATCAAATCTCTTGACACGTAGGATTTTTTTTTCAAACATTTTCCTTCACTGACGTATTCCGACACTTCTGGTTAAGGTATAGGGCGCAGCGTGTAGCGAGTAATCGAAAATTAGATTGCTGCGGTACTACTTGGCTCGAAAGATTATGCTCACGAGAAATGGCTATAGGCATATTTATTAGTTGTTGTACATCGTAAGTTTATACAAAGTTATTGCTTTTAATTTGTTTTGCATGCAGGGCACGGCTCGCGAGCAGGAGAGAGAGAGAGTGCAGATGTTCGTGACAGTTAACGCCGTGTTCGATTCTTGCTCGGCAGATGAGTCAGCACTTCTAAAGCGCATTTTGCCCGTCCTGTACGTATAGGATGTACCAACCCGGCACATTCGGCGCTGGCTTCGCACTCGCTTGCGCACTGAACTCGTTCCGAAGATACGAGTTCTTCGTGACTGAATCTGCACGTGTCATCCTGCTGAAGCAAATAGCGAGATTATGTACTCATTGATGTTGCTGTATTTCTAGATTTTGATCATTTTTTCTTGATGGTGATGTACCCGATTCAGGTTTTGACCTTATTAGTAATGTATTTTGATCCCCGTATTTTCGCATTCAAATATGTGTTTTTCAAAGATTGGCGGTCTTCTGCGTGGCCCTAAATTTCGCGGTACGAGGCTTGTACCGCGAAATAACCGTCGTGTTTCTCTTTATCTTCTCGTCTTCGTCCTCCCACAAACGTTCCCCAACACGCCGTTGCAGACTGCGGCCGCGAGGCGCTCACGTGGTACATCGTGGGAGGCCTGGTGGGCGGCATCGTGCTGGTCGGCCTGCTCGTGGTGTGCATCGCTCGCTTCCTCGTCTACCTCAGGGACCGCGTCGAGTACGAGAAGTTCGACAAGGAGATCAAGAACACCCAGTGGGGAACGGTGAGTCTATGTGCCGGCCGCGGCCCCAGCAGAGCGGCATATGCATGTGGCGTGTGTGACTTACCGTACGGTGTTTGAACGTACGTGCCCTCCCGGATGCTTGACCTGTGCGTCGGTATACGATTCTCTGAGGCTACGGTTAAAGGACACGATGTACAAACATCCATGTGGGATCTAGTCTCGAGCTGAAACAGTGGTTCCGTGCTCGTATAACGACGCTGACTGAAGATGCGCCTGCGACCTGCTTGATGCTTTTCCAACGTGGTACCCTGACTGAAGGCGTCCGCTTGGGCCTGAAGGCGTCCGCTCGGGCCAACGTATAGTTCTTTATCGGTAAACATCAATCGCGTTGTGCTCTGAGGGAACCAGGCTTAAGCATAGCGAGCTCCACAAAAACAAAAAAAAAGAAAGAGGAGAAACGCTTCCAAACCTGCGACGTCATATTGAAGATAGTTATAGCGCGAGAGCAGAACGACGACAAAGAGACAAGGACACGAGCGCACTGGCGCTATAACTATCGTCATGTATACCAACTAGCCCAAGCTGCCACACTTCTAAGTCATGTTGAAGATCAGGCGCTGACATTTAAGCACAAAATTCAAGCATCAAGCTTCGTCTTTCATTTTATTTTTAACTAACGAGGATGATTTATGTCGATGTAATTCTCAAGGAATGTGTGCCTGGAGCAGTTTAGCACTTAAGTTTGGTGACGTGTCGATGGTACTTGGTAATACGGCACTTTTTCTGAAGCTCCCCTGATTAAGGAGCTTCTCGGTGAGTTAAACATAGGACTTTCATTAGTTGATTATGGCTGCACGATAAGAAAGGCATGCATGGACGCGAGAATTCATACTCACTCTTGCGTTCGTGTCTTTATTGGTTGCACAGGCTTAAGCAATCGACTAAACCAGAATTCTGCTCTCACTACTATTAGATCATCATATCGTTTGGAGATAATTAACGTACGTCATTTATGAACGCCTTCTGTGTTTAAGGCACTGTATTTGCTTTGGTAAGCAGTGTGGAGGATATGGGGAATTGGTACGACCTCAGGTGACGTTCCCATCCTGTCGTCGTTGACCGTTCGGGGAACTGCTTTAATTGGTTCTCTATCTGGTCTGATTCCCGCGCGCGTTGACAATGCGATAAACGAGGCTCTCGTTTTTCTCATCGCAGGACACGAACCCCATCTTCAAGAATGCCGTGTCCAACTTCCAGAATCCAACCTACGAGTCCGGGCAGCGTGCGGTCGTCAGCTGACCGACGCGCTGGCCACTGCGATGACGTCAGCACGGATCGTTCTGCAATACGTATTTCGATACTGGCGACACATTTTTTTTTTGCGCGAAGTCTACATTTCTCCGCGAGAACCCTGAACGCTCCAAGTCATCATCGGGTTTCACGAAGAACCCGTGTTTCGGGCTCCAAAGATGTGATGCTGCAGCAATCACTACGCCGTGTCTCGTAATCGTATGATGGTTTTGGGACGTTAAACCCCACATATCCATCAACCAATCTGGGCATTGTCAAATTCTGCCATCTTCTCAATACCGCTGTCGTATCCTCTTTGATTGGCACCGAGGGTCATTACACCTAAGTAGCACGCTTTGTTGCCATAACGTTGAAGCAATGTCTACAACGTTAAGGCGCCATTCACAACATTGTGGCAACGTTAGGCCAACAGCTGGTGCTATAGCGTCTTTCTGACTGGTTCAAATGTGCGCCGTATATTGGGATGACGGAATTCGGCGATGTTTAGCATAGTGCTCAATCCCAGAGGAATCGTTTGCTTCTTCCGATGCACTCCGTGATCTCTGCTTTGACGTATGCACGTGGTTGTGTCCCTTTGTTGACAAGACTGGAGGCTGACCGCATTATTCATTAGTACCGCTCGTTCACCGAAGTACGGTAGCCTGGCTATTTCCTCGAAGATTGTAGACCCTGCCATCTGTGAATCCGTGATTATCGTCGAAGAAGCAGCGGGGCGGGATCGTGAGTATCTGGGAAGACACTATAGCACCCTTTAAAGAAGTAGTGTTGATTTGGATGTCTGTTGCGAGTTGGCAATCAATTTAGCGTGTGCTGTCGCTAGATTGATACCATGCAAATCGACATACGTGGTTAGTTCGTGCATTTTGTCCCGAATAACACCGTGTACAGACCAGCACAGTGCATGGCCACAAAAAAATGATCTCGCGTTTAATGGACCTCAGGAAACTATTCGTAATTCATGTTTTCTAGGAAATTGTGTTTTTTACCGTATGGTACGAAGGTATACAATATCGCATTTTTATATTTTTTAGATGTGTATGTGAGTAGGAAGAAGCTCAGTGTAAGCATGCAGAAGGCATTTCATTTTACGTTTCCTTAGAACGTATGTCACAGCCGCCAGCGCTCAAAAAAAAGTTCTCGTGGGTCCATTATTTTCATTGTGACTACTTTGTCTAGCGAGAAGTGTTTTTATCTTAGCAACTATATAATTAACTTAGTATCATGCGTTAGTAATTTTGTCTGGCTGCATGACATCAGCCAGACTAAATGCAGGGCAGTGTACCGGTTATGCCGAACTGGTTACCATCCCTGCCTTTCCTCTCTATCTCTCTCTCTCTCGTTTTCCTTCGTGGCTGCATGCTGCGATACGTTATGTAGAACCATAGAGCACAAAATGTTGTTTGTTCCTATTTTCCTGTGTGCAGTATTGTTTTACATCGCGATGCTCCGGCCGTTGTATATGCAGATGCTATCTCAGCATGTAGCTTGTAAATGCGCAAATAGGCCACGCGACTTACGTCGCAACAGTGCCAAATGGTCTCTGCTTTATGAAATGCTGTGTAAAAAAAAACAAAAAAACTTGGGATAATGTCAGAAGGAAGTGCAGAAACCAAAAAGCAGGGGGCGCCGCTACCGTAAGGTTCCCGCGCCAGCTCACTGTACGTACTCATAATATCCTTGCTTGCGTGGCATTTCTGGGTTGGTTTACCGTGGCCGTTCCTATTTATACTGGTTTATCGTGAAAACAATATCCTGTGTTACATTTACGTGGAAAGACATGCAATGGAAAGCAATGGAAAAGGAAGCGATAGGTGTAACCTTAAGATACAAGAGGAGAGCAGAGTGGGTCAAGGAACGAACCAGGGTTAAGAATATCAGTTGAAATAATAAAAAAAAAAGAAATAGACACGAGTCGGGAGGCGTCGTGCGTTGACAGGATAACCGCTGGCCATTAAGGGTAACTGACTGGATTTCCAGAGAAGGCATGTGCTAGAGGGAGGCGAAGTTAAGTGGGCATGCAGATTAGATTAAGAAGTTTGCAGGTGTAACGAGGAAGCAGAAAGCACATGTGGGACCGGGTTAATTGGTGGTGCATGGGAGAGTACTTCACCCTGCAGTGGCCGTAGTCAGGCTGATGACGATGATGATGACGATCAAAGGGAGTGAACACTCATCTGTACGCAGCGCGATGCCAATTCTTCCTGTACAAGACCATCTAAATGCGAGAAATGTCCGCTGTGGTTGGAGTTCCTGGTTTCGGTTCTTTGCTCATGCAGCACCGCTGCGGAAGAAGCTCGAGTCAACGCCTACAGTATTGGGTCCCCCGAGCAATATAAAGGAAGGCATGAAACCACGCCTTCGGGCGTTACCGCACTTTTATCGTATAGCTCTACATTGGAGTCGATTCCCGTGACGTACATTGTAGTCTGTGACGTCATGCTGGCGTACACACCGGAGGGTTGTGGGTTTTGTTGTCATAGTGAAGCACGGGAACTTCGGTCTTCCCGTGAGAACTGATTTTTAATAGAATATACTTTGCTTCAACTAGATCGATTTAGTCTTGTCGCTTGCTGGGCTTCGTCAGCGTCATACAGGAACGCGTTTGTGTAACGACAATCCTGCCGCCTATATACTTATATACCTCGTATGACGCTGGCTGTCTGAGGTATGAACAGTATATATGATGACAGGTTTCAGTGTAACGCATATGTCGCTGTCTTGCGAAGTTGAGAAGGTCTGCAAAAACCACACATAGACTGCTTCTGCGTGTGAACAGGACACGTCACGTGGTTGTACACAGTCTATACATGTACCCGCCATGTTGGCGAGAGTTTTCATTGTGCCATCTGACCCATGTCTGGGCACGCTCGACATTAATTTTAATTTTTTTCTATCTACTTTTTTGAGTGATGCTGTCCTTTCTTATTCGTTGTTAGTAGATAATACATGAATTTTGTGTTCCCCAGAGCACAAGGTATATAAGCATGGCTCAAGTTAAAACAGAATCAAATTTGCACGTTCGCGCTGAAAAATGCGTACGTAAACATTTTTCTCCCGATAGCACAGTTGTTCAGATTACTTACCTTTTTCCGTTCACAGTAAACCTAAATAAAGATGTAATTTGCCATAACAGCGAACCACCGAAGGCCTAAAGAGAACTTTGGTTGTCTTGGCCGTCCGTCGGTTGTTACCTCTGTGCTAGAGAGTCTTGTCAGTTATGTCGTGCGTATGAAAATGCTAGTTTCGTGCCGTGGGACAGTGCCTTGCGTGTTGCGCTCGTTCCGGCTCTTGTAAGTGTCGATATCGGCTTCATTCAAGGCGTCAAGTTTATCCGATGCTGCACGCACAGCAAACCGACTGAAATTGCTTTCGCAGCCGTCTACATGCATCTAGGACGCACATACGCGGCAATAATATGACGCCATAAAGGATAGTTTCTGCTCGGACAAACACGAACCGACGTTCATGTGAACACGATATCAGGGTATTGTTGCCGGAGGCTCGCAGGCAGCTCCGTAACTTCACCGACATTGCTGTTAACCATAAGAGAAACTGTATAGCAACAAAATTAGCGCAGCGGTATACAGCTCGCTGGAGGAGAGTCGTGCTCTAATACCAATGGACGGCCAAAGACAGTGGAAAAGAAACGGTCATCACTCCGTGAACTCCGTTCGCCATTTTCTGTATTAATAAAGTTGACCGTACTCTCCGCTCACCTGCGTAGACGAGCCAGTGTGCTCGTAAAGTGATACTGCTTGAGCCACGCATGACTACCCTCAGTGCATTTTTTTTTTTGCGAAACATTCTGTATGTTTTTCTCTCACGTGTCTTTCTGTTCTGTGGTGCCGCTGAACTAAGGGCTAGTCATGTTGTCATGAGCGATTCTTTCCTCGTTTTTCTTGTGTTTTTCTACGTGCATTGTAGGTTTTATTTTTTTACAAGAAAATAAAGTCAGTAGTTGAGTGAGTGAAAATCATGTGGCAGTCTCAAATTTTTGTGGAATGCGTTCATTCAAAAACCATAAACGACGATACCGTTGATAATACCTTTCGTTTTGCTCCGCTCTACCGGTGGGCCACGATACATCTGCGATGTACCAGGTAAGTCGTCCGAGTGAGTTGCGGATAAGCATGGTTTATCTCTAGAAATGCACCAAACGCGCTCGCGCGCGGGTTATCACAGTGCTGTATTGATGATGATAAAAGAAAGCCGCAGAGGTCGATGGGAGCGACCTTCGGTGCCTGTCTCGCCTACTAATTTGTGGACGTTAAGATAACGTAACGCAACTGCACGCAGCGGCTTCAAATGCCGCACGCTGTTTCGCCGCGCGCAGTTACTTCACGAAAATAAAAGACAGATCCCTTGTTCCGTTTGGTTCGAAGACGCCTCCGCCTTGAACGTTAAGACATCGAGCACATAGTTTGCGGGCTCTTTCAAGATTGTTTATGCATCCTTAATGGTGCTCTCAAGCCATATTTCAAGCAGTTGATCGCGTCCGCTCGTAGCCATGAAGGGTTACCGTTAACTGGACTTGAAGACCCGTATTTATTTATTTATTTGATTTGCATACTCTGATTCACATGTACACAGAGGAAAGAGGGAGAGAGCAATCTGGCAAGTGCCACCTGGAGGTTTCAGAGCATTGCAAATTGGATTCACGCGAAAAGTAGTGAAAGTATAGCCATGTCATATAACTTTATCACGAAATTCACGATATATATCATCATTTTTGGCGTATATCGCGATATACGCCAAATAGAGTAAAGCGGCATTACGTTTTATAAAAACAGGACCACAGCTTTACCTAAGCTTGGTCTTCAAGCCACAGGTGAGTTATAGAAAATTTATTTATTTATTTGTGCGCTTACTAATTTATTTATTTGCATACTGTGAGACCACGATCACTATGGAAGTGTGTGGAAGGAAAATATGGAATACAGTGAGTAAAAAGGAACAATGAACAGACTTTGACATGTAGTGCAATGGTGGTTATTATACTTCCAGAAAACAATGATTATAACTACTCGCATGGTAATCAGTGTGATTTAACCTGTTAGCATCGCGTGGCAAAAAAAAAACTTCGGGTTCCGCAAAATGGAATACGTACCTAATAGCGATAACGAAAGCTGTGGGGCGTATATCGTGAAAATAAGATAAATGCGTCGTTACGGGCCTTATATATTTACGAAATAACTTCAAGTCGCAGATATTTGGACGTGTTGTTAGAGACTAGAGACGAGAGGCTGGATTTTGTGGTTTTTATGCCACCAGTGCGACTGTAATTTGACAGAATATTACTCTCCTATATGACCGTATAAATATACATTACTGGTGACGCGTGCTGAGGCAACGCTGTTAATTAGGAGACTGTGAGTGTTTCGGTCAAGCCGAACAGCCTTGCATTTTCTGACATTTAGTTCGACAACTTTTTTTTTTTTTTGCGTCAGGTGGTGCACTAATATATAGGATTCGTTTGTAGACTGAGTTCAGTGCTACACTACACAGACAGAATAATTTTGGAACAGTCCAAGCAAGATTGATGTTAGAAAGGAACATTAAAAATAAATCAGTTTTTCCTTGATGTTGGGCATAAAAATTGGTAACTATAGACTCACCATAATAATATCTGAAGTTTTAGGTCCCAAAGCAGCAATATGATTATTTATTTTGTTCACATATTATGTCAGTCCTTTCAGGGACTATAACAGGAAGGGCAAAAACTATGACAAATGTTAAGTAAGCAGATTACACATACATACATACATACATACATACATACATACATACATACATACGTACGTACGCACATACATACATACATACATACATACATACATACATACATACATACATACATACATACATACATACATACATACATACATATGTGTATATAAACTCGTATGTACATACATATTACCACATGATTCCTTCTTTTGTTTTGCCGTAACGCAGCTCGTAGCCAGCAATGGCAACAGTTGAACAAGCCTTTACAGGGCTGCGTGTGAAGCGAAGCACTCGTTCAAAGAGGCCTCGCCAGAGTGTAGTTGCATCACCCGCCACGATGTGGAGGTAGTTGCGGGGCCCGACCGCAAAGAAGACCGCTGCATTAAATCCCGGCTGTGGTGACGGCATTTCGATGGAAGCCAAATGCTTATATAAAGGGTCTGTGTTCTTAGACCTCGGTGTTTACAATTGTTATTATTAGTGGAGTGGCAAACAGCCAATCGCGCTATGTACACCTCACTCCGTGTCGGACAACTGGGCAGAGCGAATTCACGTTATGTTGGGGAATAGCAACTTGTGCGAAACGTGCTATTACCACATCTCGGTCGCATTGGCAATAACAAGGAAACGGGGTTATGCGTGCAAGCTGTTTGCTGTGCCTGCGCCTCGGCTACACTTCACCACGGCGACTTCGGTGCGCGCTTCCTTTCGTCTGCTTCAATCGAGCATGACCTCCGAGATTGCAAGCGCGCCTACAATTTTGGAGGCCATATACCAAGCGCCATACTTTTGTTGAAATCCGTGCGAGGACGCCACCATCTTGGGCACGCACAAGACACGCGCTGCAGGAAACTTTATGCGCACTTTCATTTCTTCTCAACAAAGTCTGTTCCTCTTCCTGGCTTTCGTTTGCACAAGTTCAGCAACGTCTGTGGCTTGTGCAGTTTCAAATGCGATAGCACTACTGTCAGTAGCTGTCAGTAAGGCTGAGTAAAGATAAATTGGGCAGCTAGGGGCAGCTACATCGGCTACATTGCACATCATTCTAGTTGTAAATTTTAAGCAAAAATATTTTTTTTAACTTTCAACTGACACAAAGTAATGTTTATTGACTTATTTGTGGAAAAATAAACTTGTGTAAATTAATTTTGGTTGCCAACTGTTGTTTACATTTTAATACTAGTGAAGCCGTAAGCCACGGCTAGCCTAAACAAGCCCCAAAGTTAATCGCATCGGGAGTTTGTTTTGCTGTGTTGAAGAACTTTCCCGTGCGATGAACTGAACAGTTTCGACTCCAGTTCGGGAAACCGAAGATGTTGCCTGAATCGGATAAAGCAGCGCCCGTGCCTTTGACATCTCAGGAACTGGCCATACTGGCTGAAGGTCGACAGGTTCGTGGATGTCTCATTAGGGAAGCGCCAACGCTGCTTCCCATTAACTGCACACACCCCTCAATGCCGACACGGTGACCCAATTTTGTTTCGGTTAATTGCTAAAACTTGAGCATTCTGTGGTTATCACGTAAAGCTGCTCTTCTAAATGCCTCTCTTTGCTTTTACTTGCGAGTAGAAATGAATCTGGAACGTGCCACGCCTCCTGATCACTGCCGTTTTTTTTCCTCTAGCTCGGAAACGCAACATGAAAGTTTCGTCAAAGTTTCTTTAGCTTCGTTTGCAAAACGACCGTATTATTCAGTCTCTGATATGACGATATTAATTTCTATAATTAGCGCCGCAGCTAATCTGAATTATAACCCATTTTTTCGCCTTTGTACTCGTATGCTCTAGCTTCAACTTTTCCTAACGGTACCATCATATCAGGTGTATGCTTATCGAAAAGATTGCTGAACGTTAGTTTTTTGTGGTTGCCGCCTTCTGAAAATCTAGGCGTGCTGGTAAAAAAACTGGCCAAAGGAAGAAACCTTGATTTCGGATGAGTGTTATTTTCTTTTCCAAGTGTGAACCCAAGCTTCGATGGAGTTTGCATGAAAAGAGTCAAAATATTTACATAAGCGAATAGTTTCTTTAACTACTTATGTGTGTTGGTGCTGAAGGTGCCATTGCTTGTATTGTACCCTTTTTTTACGTGATTTCAAAAAACCGACAATAAACTTGCTAATTCCAACTCTGGTTTCAAATTTCCTGCTAGCAGCTTATTTAAAGCCTTAGTGGGCTTTACATTGTAGCAGTTTATTAACAGTTTTGAGCGCACATGATTTTATGAGTTAGCCAAGCTTGACCTTTAAACGGGAGGCGGCCCTGCATCTGTGCATACGCAACTTTCATGCAAAGTTATAGCTTAGGTGGCTCTGGCATAGCGTTTGAAAAGCTTTATGTTCACTGGTTTAAATTGAAGAGATCAATAGTTTTCACATGAGGTATGTGATGTTGTTTCACCTTGCCATGTTGGCTAATGTGAGCCCTCGTCGCAGGGTGTTCGACATTTGGAGCAAGTTCTGATTGCTAACTATCAGCGAAGTAAGCGCCCCCAAGGAGGCAATGCTGATTCTACCGGTCCTGTCTCGGCTGGGACAGCACCTGCCTTTGAAGCACTTGTGGATCATACGGGCACTGATGGTGTGCTCAGTGGAGGTCACGACAGGAAGGGCTTTCCACCAGCCACACCTGCTGCTCCGAAGGAGCTTGATCCGAAGGCCTATTGCAAGCTGGGTCACTTCCAACTCTTGCTTGAGGAATATTCAAAAGGTGTTTATCAACTTTTAGCATTAACAATAGCATTAGCAACATAATATTGCTTGTACCAAGCTTGTACGATTCAAACAAGCGTGTTGCACTGTTCTTGCGGCAGCAATCAATCTAATAATTATGAAAAGCCTGTGAGGTGTGCATTTTGTCGAAGTTTAAAACGGAAGGCTGCACGCTCTTGCTCTTGCAGGTATCGTGCTTTCAGCAAGGTTGAAAGACGACATGCACAAGTGCCTAAATAACGGGCACTTCTCACAATGTTTTGTATTGTGTGCATGCTGCCTGGAGTTATAGTAATGGATGGTTCAATTTATTTTAACCTATTCAGTTGTAGTTGGAGTTAGGGAGGGTTCAACTCCCCTTCCGCCTGAAATTTTTAAATTTTGTTTTGTATATATACACACACACATAAAGATGTGTGCACAAATATAGAAAGTTGATTCCTGCGGAAAGGTTACTTTGATATGCCTGTTTCACAAAATAGCATCAGGTAAGCACGAAACCGCTGTCTCTCTCACCCAGCAGATATATACTTCTCACCATTTGCACAATAGCCGTTCCTTCAAACGCATTCTTGCATGCACTAGTGCAGCTCATCGACATCACCAATAATGCTCGGAATATGGAATGGTCTTCCCAACAATGTTGTCGACATTGGTGATCCTGTATTGTTTTGTCACGAAGTTACTACCATTTTTTCATCAGCAGTGGCTTCAACCTTCCGCTAAATCATATGTAGTCCTCATTGCTAGGTAATGTACAATTTGTTTTGGTAATGTGATACACCCTTACATATGAGCATCGCTGCATTTTGTTTATTAACTGCATGTCCTGTTTGCTCTCGCTCACAATTATATAACATTATTTTTTAAAATTTATGTGCTATAAGACGTATAACTGTTTTGATGCTTCCACTGGTGTGAGTGCACATCCTGTCTTATCTCGTTCTTGTGAATGTCTTGTTTTCGCACCGAAAATTTTCCCATTAGCTTTGCATCATCTTCGAGTGTCTAGGTCTATTCTGTGGGTTGAATTATAAAATTGGGACTTGAGCAGCTACATTAGTTAGAGATGTGGTGTTGCATCTTAACATGGTTAACACGGCAATTTGGGCTAGTTGATAGGGCATGACGATTGTTATAGCGCAAGCACAGAACGACTGAGAGCACTCCTCTTCTTGTCCGTTTGTCATCGCTCTGTGCTCATGCTATAGCAATCGTCATGGCTAGCATGATTGCATCGGTGTAATATCTCTAGTTTGCTTACACTATTGGCCAACTTGGCTAAGGCAACCTCATAACAAATGGTTTGTCGTTATTCCAGCCTTATCTGCATATCAGAAGTACTATGCAATGAAGGAGGACCACTGGAAGGTAAGCAAACTAGAAGACTCATTATTTAACATGTATTTAACATCTGGTATTGCTCATGGGCTCCTCTGCAGATGACATGTTGATTGTTTCTTATAGGCTATAGAGGCTCATCATAGCTTTGATGGCCTGGCCTATATTTTTTTCGTAACATTATGATCGGTTTTTGAGTTGTTTTTTGCTGGTCATTTGATGGCAATTTTGTTTTTATTAGGATGAACCTTTCCTGTATGGCTTGGGCCTTGTTTATTTCCACTACAGTGCCTACCATTGGTGAGTGATGGTGCATTTTTTCGTTTAAGGATTGGCATGTGAATTGCCATGTTAACCCTTTTATGAAACATGATGCATTACTGCTCTATTCAGAACCAAGGCGTTAGGACCATAGAGTTTCCCATAAGTGCACAAGAGAGAACTCTGGCACTGTTGTCATGGGAAGCGGCCATCCACGGTTGTCACACACAGGTCCCGTTAATTAGGGAGGCAATTGCCGGGCTTATTCCAAGGGCCGAAGTATCGGCCCCCCGAACCGCACCACGAAAGCTTGGACAATTTAGAAGTGGTCCTTTTTGGCGCGCCAGCGGACGCCGGCTGTGGCCCAAAGAACAAGACAGAGCCGAAAGTTGGTAAACGAAACAAAATTATATTCTCAATAATGGCAGATCAAAAAAACAATACACAAGTATGCACACTCCACAATAGTTGCATACAATATGTCACCAATCAAACAACGTACTACACAGTACAATCGGCCACACTCGAAACAGTGGACACAGACAACAATACGCACTACAATGCAGTCGCATGCATTGAACAACCAAGACACTTAAAGACTAAAGAGATAGAAAAACCTATTCAGTCCAAAGTTCCGGAACAAACGTCTGGGTGATACTCTTCCGAGAATCACTCACTCAAAGTCCAGCGTTGTTGTCGTTCCGCGCCCCCGAAGTTTCTTTTCCAGGAAACCTCGAGTCTTCAATTGGCCACTCTCCAAGCTTCAAACTTCTTCGCCGGAAACACGTCGGCTTCACACACGCAGCTGTTGCCACGCGTCTTCGCTCGATAGCGGTAAACACACACTCTTGCCTGTAGCTCGAGCCGTCACCCCTCAGGTGGAAATCCTCTTCTTCTCCTGCTTTGTCTCTACGGACAAAACCTTCGCCGACTACACGGCGGAATCCCTACGCGCTCTGGCGCTAACTTCCGTCTTCCCCTGATCTCTTGTCTTGGCTGCTCGATTAAATACCTTCCGCGCGAGATTCCAGAAAGTTCTCATCATTTCGTCGGCGCGATGCACAGCGAAGGCTGGGGGAAAGGTCGAGACGATACGAGGGCCGTCTGCGACGGATGACTCAACCCGGCGTCACCACGCCTCTTTTCATCGAGAAAGTTCAAGTGCTTGCTCGGCCGCCGATGTGGGGTGAAGAGGTTCGTCGGCGAGCCTACGCTTCCGAGAGGGGAGGGTCGCGCGCCCGGGGAATCTTTCGATGTTTGTTTTCTCTTTTTTTTCTTTATCGTTGTCCTCGCGGCTCCACTCCGGCGTTTCGTCGCGAAAATTTGGCGGCGCGCCCTTTTGGAGCGCTCGTTCTGTGACAACGGTGCTTCAGTGAGCATGGGAATGATGGGTAGTACACAAATTTGTCTGATCTTCATTCTCTCCGCTCCGCTTGACTTCGCACGGTTGGAAGCTTTGTTGTCACGAGACAACTATCAGTAAATGTTCAGCAGTTGCACTTCAGTACCTTAACCCTTTAGGTGCACCAATTCAAATTCACTCACAAAGTTCAAAACGGTCTTTTATTTGAAACAAGACCAAAACACACCTATAAACAAAGTCGCAAGTGCATTTGAAGCTCGTAAGCATAAAAGACTAGGCATATATGTGTACTACATATCATTCCCACGGTTGCTACATGATCACAGCACCACAGTCCCCTCCAGTTAATATTAGAAATCTGTTTGAATGGGACAACAAATGAATCCATCCGATAAGCAGGTAAAGGAAAGGTTTGGCTTCTGCGTTACACGCATAGGTCAGTAAAATTTCTGGAGCTCACTCAGCAAGTATATATTGTGGTTCGAAATCACTCGGACTCACTCTCACGAAAATATTTCTCCGGCGGACTCACTCGAACTTACACTCACGAAAATTTTCTGCAACCGGACTCACTCGATCTCACACTCGTCAGAATATTACTCATTCTGGCTCACTCAGACTCAGATCGAGCCTTGAGTCGGAGTGAGTTCGAGTGAGTTGACTCATGAGTTTATTAGCCTAGGATTAGCTTTTTCAAAAATGGTGTCAATGCTCTTTAACACCAATATCTCACGTAATTGGTGGTCTTCTTGGTGCTGTTTGATACAGTACCTTCTAATATCCATTTTAATTGTTTGCAAACTAGTAAGCTCATTTTCTTTGAAAAAGATGAGTACATAAGGTATATTTGTAAGGAACTTTTCTGGAAGAGTTGGAGGGAGGAGGTCAAGGCGGCCCCCTAAGTACTAATTCATGCTTCCGTTCAATAAATATTGATGGGGTGTGTAAATGACACCGTGTTGGCATACGTGTGAGCAGACGCGAGTATAAGTGTGATTCCAGAAAAGACTGACAGTAATGCTGAAGATGAGTAGACATGACCACAGGTTGGCAAAAGAAAGTGGAACTCACCGAGGCTCACTCAAGAATAATATCTTCTCCTTTGGACTCACTCGGACTCAGGCTCGCCAAAATTACCCTGGGCCGAACTCACTTCGACTCACACTCGCGAGGATTTTCTTCAACTGGAGTCACTCAGACCCACTCACCAGAATATTATTCACCCTGGCTTAGTCAGACTCACGGCTTCATCTTATTAATACGAGTGAGTACGAGTGAGTCGATTCATGAGTCAGCTCACCGACGTATGTTTACAAGTCTACGCCTGACCATTCGTGACAGTTAGATATGAAGAGAGAACTCCGCAGAAAAATGCATATATATTTTTAAAAAGCGTTTACCCAACACAGCATTGAGATGCAAGTGCATCAAAGTAAAAAAGAGCTTTTACAATGACGGCTTGAAACTAACAATAGGGAAACCTAAACCGACACGTACAATCCTCCGCTTTGTGGAAATACACAGAAAAAAAAGAATGCTAGCAAATAAAAAATTCTTATGGTAATGAATGGGATGCAATTTAAACTAATGAAACTTGTATATGGAATATACAGTAGTTAATGTAAATGTAGGATTATACATGGCAAAGAAAAGAACAGTTTGATGCAAAGATTGAGTGCAGCTAAACTTTGTACAGTTTGCGGGCAAGAGTTCAATTCTTAGCGGTGATGGGCCACTAGCTCCTTGCTGGGGTGGCCTGTTGAAGACTGATGGCAAGAGTCATGCCATACATTGGCCTTTTTTCCGGGGACCCTAGCTTGCTGAACTTAGTGTTTATGACAGATAGTAAGGCCTGACTCCTAATGCACCTTAACATTTCCCCGTGCTTACCTCAGCCCCACTCTTTTTTGTAGCGTATCGGCGATTATGCGATGAACAGGTCAGTCAGGTTGCAGAACAATTGGAGAGTCTTCCTAACCATTAAGCAGCACTGCTATGGCAGGGGTGGAAGTGTTGAGAGTGGAATGCACTCTAGGACACTGCATCAAGCGTTCGAAAGGTTGAAAGGGCTTTTGTTTTGAGCACCCTTTTCCTATGATGACACTGTCATTACTGTGTTGTCGTCTTAATGGCATCATTTCGGTCTTTACCTTCGCCACATGATGGACAATGAAACACATTGCACACCAGCACCATAGAGAATCGACTCTGCCTCGTTATGCTACATTGAGGATGCCGCATTACAGCCTTGAAGAAAAGAAATCTGCTTGTTGAAACGTCGGCTCCTGCGACATCCTGTGTTCATGAATCGGTCATTTCTTCTAGCTTCCATTTTCACGTGTAGTTTTGCCTTTTTTTTTGTGCTTAGTAGCTAGATAATGGGGGTTTCATTTTCCCTCCCATGCAGCTGCATTCCAAGCGTGGCTTAAATGCATAATGCCTATGTGCATCAATGTGGGTGTATATTAAAAAGCTTGATGAAGTTGTAATTCAATCTGAACCGTTCTGGTATGGGTTCTGTTGTCACCCACCATTCAGTTTTGAAACATTGGGACTTGCACTTTAGTTTTCAGAAACCATGGTGCGGGGTTGCATGCTTTTACATTTTGGGATTCGGCAAAGTCAAGGAGTTTGGTGCCTGTGCGTGCATTCATTGGTATGCGGCGTGTGCAGCCACTCGAAAGTCAACTTGAAATACATTGTTGGGGCAAGGCAACTTAAAAAAAAAAAGAGAGCTAGCACTCAGTGCGTTGAATGATAAACAGTTCTGTAGTAGGTTGATATTTGAACTCGTAATGTAATTAAGGAAGAATTTCACTGGCCATTTCTCGAAATTTGAAGGTCTGTGACTGGAAAAGACTCTGACCAGGATTGCATGGAACAGGCTAAGCACCTCTGATGGTGGATGACTAGAGTCTGTGCCTTCCGCCTAACCATTCTCCCTTGAATGTCTGGCTGCTAACTTTAGGCAGCTCCAGTTACTCGCTTTATCATTGGGTATGCTACAATATATTGCTAGAAAGGGCAGGAGTATAGAATGACTTGGGTATAAATAAAATTCAACATTTTTTCCAAGAGATGACTTGTTTATTTGGTTCGCATCCTTCTGTAGGGCACTGTTAGCTTGGCTTCTACCCCCCTCCTTTTGACACCTGCCTTTCTGACGTCGCCAGCTGTATTTGTGCAGTAATTTAGTGAGACCCCCTAAAAACATCCTCTTGAGCATTCAGCCAGAAAAAGAACGATGTATGATCGATCCACTGTCACCTGATGAAAGATCGATTCACTGTCGCCCAAGGTAGTATAGACACACTCAATTGATTAAACTAATTAACCTAAAGTAGAGGTGATGCTGCGTATTGTATGTACTAACTGTACCGATCTCTGATTTTTGGTAACGTTTTGTTAAAGGCAGGATTCAAAAAAAGCGCAGAAGACCATCTTTACTAACTTCGGACAGATGGCGCCACGTGTCCGTACTGAGTAAATTTTGAGGTGGATTTAGTTGGTTCTACAAAAACGTGTGTGCTTTTATTAATATGCTGATGTGCAACCTCGTAGCTATAACTTGGAAGTCGAATTTTTGGTGCATTGTCCTAGACAAGGTAACATAAAAAAAAAATAAAGGATAACAGTAATACGCAGCTGCTAGCCTTCAACGCGTCGAATTCATGTT